AAGGAAAAAAGGAGAAATGTGTTTGCAAGAATATCTGCCATTCAATCACCACAAAGACACTAAGTAGCAAACAAAAACATCAAGCCTAACAAATGGTGCTCCTCTGCAACTGTTGCAGTACAGATTTTGGTATGTAAACAGCAGACCTCCTTTTTGTCAGACAAACAAGACAATCTACTATATACAGGAAGGTGAGTTTTCAACATTTAATGTTTTCATATCTGACAAAAAGATTTGCCTCAAAGCCAGTCTTTCAAAAAGTACTCAAAAAATAAGCATATGCCTCACTAGCCCTTTAAAAAAGTATTCTGAAGTAGCTCATCTGACCTACAAACGTAGAAATCAGGCACAGACGAATTACATGAAAAATTCTTCTCAGCTCTACCTACAATACTGCTAAAGTTTATGACCTTAGTCCCTACTAGACCATCAATGATAAAAACATTTCTTCACTTCCTGAAGAGAACTGTCTACTTCTCCGTATCCACATCCTCAAGGAATCACCAGAACTCCACCGTCAAGATGAAGCTAAGACTGGAATTTCAAAGGTCCACTCATGTCAAATGCTACATATTTCTACTCAACACTTAAAACCATTCCTGTTTAATTATCAGAGAACTACTATTTGATTATTTACCAGATATTCCAATAAATCATTAAAAATAAGTATTGAAGTTATTTTTTTTTAGAAATGTGGCACACTGCATCAAGATGAATGGTTCATCTCAATACATCACAGTACCACCTGAAGACCACAGAAAAATCTACACAGTAGATTCGATGAAGGGTTGTTCTAAAATACTTCCTACAACCTTCCATCCATCTCTGTAAAATTAAGTTCAGAGGCAGACTCAGAGAACTCGTCTCCTTCTAAGAAGCTGCTACCTCTCATTTCTCTCAGTCTGAAGTCAGATTGTTCGCTTGTGTTGCTCCACACCTTTTCTCACCTGTTTGTGTATGGATAGGAGCAGGGTGAAAGATTTATACCCCAAAACCCTGGTATGCTTCCATCTCCCAGAACCCTCCCTGCCTGAATTTATTAAAGTTACTTACATCCCGGGTCCCACACAGTAGGCACAAGGCAGGCATTGGAGGAAAACAGTAGAGAAATTAAGCCAAGACACCACTTCCTCAGCTTCACCTGAAAATCACCAGCTGTAGCTGCCCCGGTGACCCAAACAGCAGCAACGTCTGCTGGTTGGCACAAGGATCGATTAGTGTAAACCTTTACATGTTCATACCAGCATCCAAAATGGGGTGGCTGCATTTCAGCTTTCTTTTCATAACGCTCCTTGGCCTATGCTAACTGGTAAAGCTGTAGCGAATATGGACCAAACGCATGACAGGAACCATCCTAATAATTTAACAGTACAGATGATCACCTTCCCAGGCTCAGAAACCTTCCCATTATACACAGAAACACTGTGAACGTCATGTTCATTCTCAGCACACAGAGACCACCGTGGACCACTTAATGGGCTCCTGCAGACCACCTGGCTATTGATGTCACCATTGCAAAAATTAAGAAGTGGGAACTATTGAATGTCTTCAAAATTAATTTATAATCATCAAAAAAGTTCTAAAAGTTAACATGCAATAATTATAATTTAATGTTACCACCTGATATCATCACAGGGCTGTAGTTCAAGACATCTGGATACACTTACTATCCACTTCTACAGCTTACACACATACAAAAAAAGCCATGAGTTCCTTGTGTTTATAGTAATTGTTTCTGGAATAACTGCAACAGTCTTATTATCATCCATATGTACTCTCATCAAATCCACTTTTAACATAGTTTCTCCCCGGCAAATATACATGGGTATGTATGTGCATTCTTGGATACATGTAAAAATGTACATGCTCTGCCAGTCAAGAATAACGCGGAAATAAAGGCTTTTAAAGAAATTGCGAACAATTATCAAATACAGCAGTGAGCCTCTGACGCTCCTGAATGCAATCTATTTAAAGCATGACAGATAAGCAGGTGGCATAGAAGAAATTTATAAAAACTTCCCCTTCATCAAATAGAATATGAATGTACTGGAAGAAAAACAGTGCCATCTACTGACAACATCTGTTTTACTCATAAATGATGTCTCCCAAAGGACTGATTTGTAAACTATCATAATCTAAAACTACAGAAAGTATACCTTGAACCAGACTGTGGCACAGAACTGCGAAATTATATACATTTTGTTATAGCACAATTTGTTTCAAAAACTTGCATGTTTAGCTCCAAAGCACTGCAAAAGCTGTCAATGATTACCAGAAGTTACCTAGTCCCTCTACTTCCTTCAAGGCTTTACCTCTGCAGTCTATGATATACTTTTATCCAACCTGATTTCAAGGATCTCCAGTGAAGTATATTTATACCCTCTTCCTACACAGCCTATTCCAGTATGTATTTCCAATTTTAGAAAATTTTGCTATCACTCAAACCAAACGTTTCTCTGACATTTGAGGTCTATATTTCTAAACTTGCTAAAACTGTCTTTTCCCATTCCTTTTCAACAGCCTTTTACACGTGGTTCTCCCTCCTTCCCAGACTTATTTGCCTAACAATGCCATTTTGTCAGTCATTCTCCATTATCATAATTTACAGACTATTGTTCTTTGTCTCCTGTCCTTTAAACTCAATCCAGTTTGTCCACACCATTATCTAAAAGCAAGCCACAAAACTGGACACAGTAACGCAGCTTGGCTTTTCTGATAAGAGATGGAAAATTAGTCCATGTACCCTGTGTGCAGTGACAGGTTATGAAGCTCATAAAGCCTAGCTAAGGTTCATATCTAGAAAAACTACTGTTTCCTTAACTGTACAACTTCTTTTCCAAGGAGAAAATATATCAGACTCTCTGTTCTTGAGAAGTTAATAATGTTATTACTTCTCTGCCTATCTTTGCATGCTTAAGTTGCCAAAGCAACTTGTTTGTTGGACATTCCCCTCAGCAGCCATAAACATTTCCAACATCATCTTGTTTCTCTAATTCTTTAAGGCATCGTAGGATGAAGTTTTTAGCATAAAAAAAGCCTATGGTCACAATGATAAGGGAAAAAAAAAAAAAAAAAAAAGGTAGTCTTTCACAAAACAGATTTCACCTCTACATTAAGAAGCTAAGCCAGAGCTAAAAAACTTGTCATTGAGAAGTCCTTTAAAGTTTGTACAAGTTTCGAAGTTGGCTATATAGGTGAGAATGTATTTGCAATGCTGTTGCATTCATTTTGTCTATAAAAGACGCATTTTAATCTTTCCAAGGACTTGCATTATTTTCAGATGTGTTTCTAAAGAAAACTGATCAAGTTACTGTTTTTAACAATGATTCATCTCAATGAAGTGGAAACAGCCTCAAAGAAAAACAACACTCAAATCAAGAGTAATATCTCTTCTCCAAGTTTCATGAGAACTTACAGACTTCCAGAAAGGAGGACTGTTAAGGCTTATCAATACAAGGAACTACACTCATATAACTACATCAGCACTTTTTCCCCACACACCCCACACCCCCCCCATCTAGTTATTTTGGATTGACCTCTCTAGTAAATAATGCACAAACTTTGAATCCAACTTAGTTTAAAAAAAGATGTTCCAAAGGCCATAAATTAAAACCAAGACCTCCTTTGTACCTCTGGAAATGGGGAAGTTGCTGCTCTTCCTCAGTTGTCAGGATGTAACCCACTTTTAGTAACAACACTGCCCTCCAGCTGCATCTTCTGCCAAAAGGATCAAATGCCCACAGCCCACCTGCAGCTTTCTGCTGATCTTTAGAAAGCAGTTATACTATTACTATAAAAATCTCCCACACTGAAAATCCGATAAGACCTAACAACAAAATAAGCAGAGTGTTTATTATTGACTTTTAGTTCTTACAACTACTGTCTTTTGAATTGGTTATGGTTTGCCACTGGATTTCTAGTATATGGCAGAGAACTACTTTTTTTTAAATAGCATTTGAGGCCCAGTTTCCAAAAACTCAAATTTCATTTTTATAGCGGTAATGCATTATATATAGGATACTATAAATTTTATCACTATTATTTTGTATGTTGGTCATCTTATTCACATGTTATACAGCTAATATGAACAGGTCTGTATTTGACAGTACATTGTGTTGCATCATATTTTAAAAAAAGCTTCATTCCAAAAAGCGTTAAGAAAAAAATCACTTTAAGTCTAATTCATATAAGCTTAGTTCTTGCTTATTTATCCAAGGTTCAACAATATTGAGCAATAGAGAAAAGCAAGTGTATTTTCTCCAGAAGCAGCAAATCATAACACCCTTGTGAAATCCCAGCAAGCTCTCTACTCACTTCAGTCAACAGAATCCTCTCTGACTTCATAGACAAACTTACCCTCTTCTGAGCCAGGACAAAAACAAGAGTGTGAGCAATTTCTAACAAGACACTTGCCTAGTGACCATGATTTGCCTATTTAAGTGTGGTAATTATAGGAAAGGCAAATTTAAAAAAAATTTCAAGCCAGCAGAAGATAAGCATACACACTGGTTGGTTATTTTTCACTACCAACAGTGTGAGGTTGCAGTATTTACAAGGAAAAGCTACACTCAGTGGCAGAAGACAGACCACTGGTGATGATGTTCTGGGTGGGGGGTGCTCAGTGCCTTACGGGTCACCGACGTGATTTTGTTATCAAGCCTTGGAGAGAAAAAAAAAAAAAAAAACAAAACAAAACAAAACAAAAAAAAAAAAAAAAAAAAAAAAAAACAAAACACAAACCGATCAGTGTAAAGACAGTCAAAGTGAAAGGCGTAAAGTTTGATGGAAGCATTAGCTTTCTTCACGATGCCAATTCTTGCATGCGCTGTCACCTGCTTTGTGGGAACCAAAGTTCATGCTTAACGCATACACGGTCAACACTGGTGGGGGTTTCTGGGGGGGGAGGGAGGCGTTTCTCTGGGTTTTTTGGTGGCATTGCTTGTTTTTGTCCCCCCCCCCCCCACCCCCGCGGAGATCCAGCGGCGCGTTGCCGGGCGTACCTCATGTGCAGTATCCCGATGAGCGTGGCGGCCAGCTCGGCGGACACCCTGCCCATGATGCAGCAGCGGCTGAGGGCGGCGAGCAGGGGCGCGGGCAGGCGGGGCAGGAAGTACACCAGCTGCACGAGCCGCCGCTGCGCCTCGGCCGGCAGCAGCACCAGGGTGCCATCTAGCGGGTCTGCCGGCACACGGGCGGGGTCACAACGCGCGCCCTCCCGCGCGACACGCGCCCCCCCCCCGCGGGCACCACCACCCCCTCCGCGGGCACCCCCCCACCCCCACCCCCCTCTTCCCGCCTTTCCAGCTGCTCCTGCTTAGCGGACAGCCCGCAGCGCCTGCTGCGGGGAGGGCAACGTGACTAACGGGGAGAGCGGGAAGGGAAGAAAGGGAAAAGAAAATAAATAAAAGGAAGGAAGGGAGGAAAAAAACAAACAAGGAAGGAAGGGAGGAAAAAAACAAAGAAGGAAGGAAGGGAGGAAAAAAAACAAACAAGGAAGGAAGGGAGGAAAAAAAACAAACAAGGAAGGAAGGGAGGAAAAAAACAAACAAGGAAGGAAGGGAGGAAAAAAACAAACAAGGAAGGAAGGGAGGAAAAAAACAAACAAGGAAGGAAGGGAGGAAAAAAACAAACAAGGAAGGAAGGGAGGAAAAAAACAAACAAGAAAGGAAGGGAGGAAAAAAACAAACAAGGAAGGAAGAAAAAAAGAAAAACAGGAAAGAGGGAAAAGAAAGAGGGAAAGAGGGAAAGAGGGAAAGAGGGAAAGAGGGAAAGAGGGAAAGAGGGAAAGAGGGAAAGAGGGAAAGAGGGAAAGAGGGAAAGAGGGAAAGAGGGAAAGAGGGAAAGAGGGAAAGAGGGAAAGAGGGAAAGAGGGAAAGAGGGAAAGAGGGAAAGAGGGAAAGAGGGAAAGAGCTGCAATACTACCAGAAACAGATTTCTCATAAAATGAAGCTTCTAGTCTATCAGATTAGAGTCCTGCTAACTTGAACTAGCCTTTAGGAAATGATACACACAGTTCATTTTAACCTTCATTACACAGGACTGAACCAATTTCCACCCCTGCCCCCCACACAGAGACTTTGTGCATGGAAACACCAGTATTTTCCACATACTGCAACTTCCCTACCAAGCGATTAACAAAATTCATTATGCTGTAGTGTAAAAGTCTTACCATATATCCGAGCAGCAGTGGCTTGTAAACTTTGTAGTAATTCCTTGTTCGAACGAGAAGCAGCAGAATGAATGATATCAATCAGCTGATTTGAAAGCTCAGGGTTTCTCAGGCCAAGCAGAGCAAGTTGCTGAGGCAAGCCAGCCAACCAACGAGATAAGACTTTACTTCGACTTCTAAAGAAAGAGGAAAAAATCAGTTGGGAGGAAAAAATTCCAAACCCCAAACAACAAAAACCCCATAAACTTCCTCTTTCCAGTCTTGACTAAGTTGCTTTAATGTCAGGTATAATTAAATCACAATCAACTGCAATACTGTGATTTGCTGAGAGTATTTTACCAGAAGGTCTGAGTACACTGACGTATGACTACAGTTACATCAGAAGTGTTTATTCGATACATAGGCTTTGCATTGCATATTCTCAATTCTTTCAGAAAGTATTTGTGTGAACTGACCATACGCTGTCAAGGCAACATTTCCATTTATCGTTAGTTTTATCAGTTGGTATTTAATGAGTTACAAGTCAGGCTAAAAAGCCATGAGACTATGACACCCTCAATACCACTGAACCCAGACCCCACCCCCCATTCTAGCTACTACTGCTTGTACTAGACTTTAAAATTCAATTCTACACTTGCTGACATCTTGCTTGTCAATTCAGATACCTCTTAAAGCAGAATGAAAAACCACAGCGGGTGGAACACAGCACCAAATAACCTTGTTAACAAAGTGTATCGTGTCCCTTTCCCTGTCCACGCAGCCATTCATCATTTGTCACAGAAAGTGATCCTGTTGGTAAAGCACGATTTGCTCTTATGTATGTGCTAGCTTGTTCCTCATCACCTGCTTGTCCTTTACATGTTCACATATTAATTCCAAGCAAAGGGCTGCATGGTTTTTCCAGGGACCGAGCTGAGGCTCCATCAGCCTGAAACTCCCCAGATTCTCTTCAAGACGGGTTAATAGCAGTCTTTTTCCAGTCATGCAGAACCTCCCTCAGTCACCATGGGCCTTCGTGGATGACAATGGCCTCACTTTCACAAGACAACTTTCTCAGCACCCTCCAATATATCCCTTTGTATCTGTATCTGGCCCATGGATTTCACTACATTCAGCTCACCTGATTCTTGCACTTGCTAAATTTAAAGAGGTTTTTTACATAAGATCATACTCGTTCTGCTGGAACATCGAGCTTTCTATTGACTCTACTCCGAGCCTCAAGAAAGCACAACAGAGGTACTTTGGCCAATTCAAACCAGAGTGGAAGGAATCCATAGCTTAGGTTGCCCCTGCTGCTCTTACAGTTTGAGCTTTCTTGGGCGTAAGTAACCACAAATAAAGTCAACTGAATAAGGTATCAAATACTTCCATGTACCTTCTGCTATAGCTTAGTATCTTTAAAAATTATACTTTTTTTTTTTTTTACCCACCATCTTTAGTACACAGGCAGCGTATAGAAGGAGAATGATTATGGCTTGTAACTAGTTGAATTTTACATTTAAAAAAGCCTGTTAGTTGCCAAGTGAACCAATTTTTGTTTTGTGCAAGTGCACCTCTTCCCTCGGGTAATCCAATTCTTCTGATGTATTTCTCATTTCCTCTGTTCAGGTGATGCTTCTGAACTATATGTCACACGAATGTTTCTATTGGCATGCTTCTTCTTTGTGTGATGGTCATTAATGATAACATGAAGTTTGGCTTCAAGAGCTCTGAGGAACTGTATAAGCAGACTCTCTCGAGTTTTACTACTCCCGCTGTTGTCACCTATGTACCGTATCCCACTGTACACACTCCTATTAAGTGAGATCCCATCTTTTATACCAAATCCAGATTGCATTACCTGCCTTTAAAGGTAATAGGCAAAGTTCTTACTATCTGCATTTTCACACACCAGTTCTCCCAAGTCTCTGGAAAAAAATTTACTTAAACCTCCTCTTTTGCATTCATTTAACAGCATTCAACTCAATTTTGTTTACAGCACTGCTGTTTCCATATCTAAGGACTCTGACCATCCCTTGTGTTTGACACAAAATAATCTTTACTGAAAAAATGTGACAAGATAATATTTATATTGAAGGACAACCTGAATTCATCCTCATTTCAGACCCACTTCTTCCCTTATCCTATAGTGTGATGGCTAAGAAACTTTTGCTATTTTCACATCCTATGAAAAAAAATCAGCTTGACATTTAGGAGTTGCTATTTCTGACATTCTTGTCAGAAAAACAGGAATGAAACCAGTTTGCTTATCAATTCATTTTTCCCCATTCTCTGTTAGTGCTGTTTACCAGAAACACCCCTTAAAAACTGGTCAGAAAACAACAAAAACACACCTTGGACAAGCTCTTCCCTAGCCTAAGACAAATTTTCATTTGTATTTATGACTTGATTCTCCAGACCTCCTTTCCCATTCCAATCAATTGGCCTGCTCATACTTCACGAAACTTCAATAATTAGGTTTTTTCTTTCCTTTAAGTGTCTTTGGTGCTGAGCTTTAAAACCTGACAGCCACAATTACAGATCTGCCCTTACCCTTTTTAGTTCAAACTGAAACAGTCTTATAGACCAATCCTATCTTTTGTTGGCTACAATTTCTATGACATTCTGGCTTATCAAATCAAATAAACCAAAAGCATTTTATCACCTTACTACTAAAGTGATGATTACATGAAAGAAGCTGCTGAGTGTAAATCAAGAAGTTCAAAGTAGGTCTTTGAAGGTGTCAACAACACTAGTAAAACGATGATAAAAATTACTTCATTTTCAAAAGACCTGGCAAAATTCCTGTCCTGGGTTGAGTGAGTGGTGGAGTTTTTTGGTGGCAGGGGAGGGGGCTATCGGGGCGGCCCCCTGTGAGAAGCTTCTCGAAGCTCCCCCAGCTCCAAGTCAGCTCCACCTCTGTTTGGGAAATTGAGCCAATTGGCTGCACCTCTGCGATAACGTATTTAAGAAGGGACGTGGTGACGGGCAGTCGGACTTGTGAGGAGGAGTTGCTGCAGCTGCATGAACACCAAGGTCAGTGGAGGAACGGAGGAAGAAAGGAGGGGGGAGGTGTGCCGGAGCAGAGACCCCCCTGTATCCTGTGGGGAGACGGCAGGGCGGCCCCCCCCGCCACCCATGGAGATCTACGGTGGAGCAGACATTGATTTACAGCCTGTTGTTCCTGGTCGGATGATCAAGGTTCTGTGCCCGAAGAAGGCCGGGATCTCATGGGAAAAGGCAGCCCCGCTGCTGTAATTCAGTGCTGGGAGGATTGCAGCATGCGGGGGAGTCCCACGCCGGAGCAGCTCGGGAAGGGCTGCAGCCGTGGGAGGGAATCCAGTCGGAGGAAGTTAGTGACCCATGACGGAGCAGTGTGGGGAACGCTGCGGCCCATGGGAGGAATTCAAGTCAGAGAAAGTTTGTGGAGGACTGTCTCCTGTGAGAGGGGGACCACGACGGAGCAGGGGGTAACAAGTTTTGGACGCTCCCCTCACCGAAGATGAAGGAAGTGGCAGCACTGACTGCACCCCCCATTCCCTGCCCCTGCGCCACTGGGGGAGGAGGTAGAGATATCGGGAGCAGAGCTGAGCCCGGGAAGAAGGGAGGGGTGGGGGGAAGGTGTTCTCAAGATGTGGCAATGCTTCTCACTGTCCTACTCTGTTATGTGTTGTTAGTGTCTGTAATAAATGTATGTTCTTTTTTTTTCTTCCCCTAACGAGTCTGCCTTTTGCTCATGATCATAAAAGGGGGATTTTCCCCCATCCCAGTCCTATCTTGAACCCCAAGCCTGGCTCTCTGTCCCTTCTCATTGCTGAAGGGCAAGGGAGAGAGAGGTGCTGCATTGTGGTTGGCTGTCAATCAGGCCTAAACCACAACAATTCCTCACCAAAAACTTTAAGGAAACTAAGTATCCATGATATAAGAGGAAAGGGCCTTGCATAGGGAGATTGAGTTAACAGTAGGAAAACTCTGGAGAAGAACTGAAATAGGTAAATTTGAGGTAGGCTCAACAGAGGTCTCAAATCACTTGACATGCAAATGGTGGATGGAAACAAAATGTTTGTTTCCTCTTCCCACATAATTGAGTGCTGGTATCAAAAGAAGCTAGAAGGAGCCAGGATCAAAGAAAACAGAAGAAAGTTGGTTGTCAGCTGAACATTATCACTCCTTGCCAGAGGATGCTGCAGTTGCTCTTGTTTTACACTGGTCCAATGAATGACCAGTAAAGCTCACAATAGAGACATCCACTCACTCAGTAATACTAAATACACAGAAGCTCTGTGAAGTAAAAAGTACAGACTTCAAATGGTTGGAAGCTTAAGAATACTGTGTGAAAGTAATTCTTGCCTTTTAAGTATCTACCAGTGTATATATATACACACACAGAGTATATCCATATATACACAGAATGACTATGCACATGTGTAGCAATAAGTTTGAATACAACTAGCATCAAGAGCAAAATATTAATTCTGAACCTTGTAATAAATCAATCAAGTTTTCTTTCAAAGGGCACCAATAGGCCAAAAGTGCCTTTGAATCAGAGACACCTGAAAAATAAACAGTTTTACTTAAATGTCCTTGAAAAATGTTCCCACATGAATTCTGCTCCTCTTAGACTGCTCTTAACGAGTTTCTGAGAAAAAAAAAAATAAAAACTGGAGGAGAGCAGTCACAGGAAGGCTGAAGGAGCTATGATGTCAAACAATGGAATAACATGAATGTCATCCAGGATCTACTGCGCAGTCCACATCTTGAAGTAATTAAAAAACCCACTTGTTTCTAAAGGAAAGAAATGGATCAGTACAGTACACAAGCATTAAGCCATCTTGAAATCTATTGTCAAACATAAGTGCAAGTACCATTTTTGCAAAGAATTTTTGAGATTTCACTCTTCTGTTACTAAAATGTCACAATTCCATGTAAAAGACTACGAAGAACAGCAGGAAAACTACTGCTATTTGTGATGTCTAAAGATAGAAAGTTAAAGCTTTCTAGATAATTAGATGATCACATGAAACTGGATGAGAAGCACAAGAATTCCAGATAAGCACAGAAAACAGTGGTTATATAACCTCAGGGACTTCAGTATGAAAAAAGATCTCTCATCCCAGGTGAAAGGAGGAGGAAAATGGGGTGTTCGCAAGCCTTTTTCCTGTCTGTATTTCAAATTATCTATGTTCAGAGGATAGTGTTAGGTATTTCTGGATGTAGATCTAATTATCTGTACTCAGGCATTACCACAATATAAGATTTAACAAAGCAAAGGAGTTGCAGAAGAGAACAACTTCCCCGAAGCTTGACTCTGCTAGTGGATTCCAGTACTTTGGGGGCCCTGAGGTTTGATTTTCATCTAGTAGCAGAAACAAGTATCATGGGTATGATCTTATGTCCCTTTGCAGTTCTCAAACAAGGTGGGGTTGATGTAGTCTATGTTTAAGGATTTTACGTAGCTGGAACCAGATGATTTGGCTGAAAAATACCTTCTGGAAAAGTTAATATTTGGAGACAATTTGGACAAATCTTATGATGAGAAAGTGTAATAACAGCAATAAAGAGAATAACCTCCTCTTACTTGAAGCAAGTTAGATATCTAATAGATGCATGAAACTGGGAACCCAAAAGGACGAGCATTTTCTTAAATCTAGTCTCTTTTCAAGCAAACACCCAAAACAACAGAAGAATACCTTTCTTAAAGAAAATAAGTAGAAAAGGCTAGACAGGCACTACCAGAACAACCAAAGGCACTACGGCACAACTAAGTCACAAGTCCAGGACCTCGGGCTGAAGTTACAGAAATGCCTCATGGCTACAGCTGCATAATCTTGACACAACTACTGACTACCACACAGTCAGTAACAATGAGCTCATAACAGTGTACTTAGATCTTAATGATTTACAATTTAATTTATCTAGTACTTAAGAAAAAAGACAACTAAGCTAATACACATCTTAATCACAGAGAACCTAAACTTTCAAATTGCAGAGACACAGTGCCAAAACAGATTCAGAATGAAGTTTCAGAACATCTACACAGAAATTCAGTATTCTAATTTCTGAAACAAATACACTATGTTGAAATAAAAAAGAATATGCAAATGTTTTTTACCTTATTCTTTGAGTCCTCAAATCTTCTTTTTGGTAAACTCTGCTGAAAAATTTCAAAAGCAGTGTACGAACTGGAAAGAGTAGATTCCTTTGCTGGTATAGTGTATATACTGCTTTTATCAAGGGTTCTGTTGCCACTAGAAAGAAAACATATAAAAATCTGAAGTACTGCTTCTTAACCTTCTGATTTTATATATACACACATACACAGAAGAGTTATAATCTGTACCTGCAACTATCTACATTTAACTCCACAGGGAAGTACCAAAACGTTTTAAAATATCTACGAGACAGACTTCAAAACCATTGAAATAACACCTTCCTGTGTAGCTTGTGAAAGAGCCACACAAAAGAACAGAAACAACATGCAAGTGAAAACTTCGGAACTTCCTGAAGACAAGGCAGTGCACAGTTGCCAGGTAGCTAAAAAGCAATAAACTCCTGCTTTCCACAGCTATTTTCTGCATCCTTTTCCCCTGCTGCAGTAACCTCAATCCTCTCCTCGCCTATACTCCCCCCAAACCTCACTGTCACAGTGCCTTCAGTTCTCTCCGTTCTATCCCTTTCTTCCTGCCACACATGCCAGCCTTATCAGCTCTCTATGTCTTCAAACCAACTGGCTCCAAATCACATTTGCTAATTAACCAGAAAATACATACCTCAAGAGGCCAGTGGCAAGCCACTGCAAAGGGAACTGTTAAACTCCACTGTAACTTTTCCTTCTCTGAAACTCTCATCGGCTATGCATTATCACCAGACTTAAAACAAGATACAAAAGTTCTGCCCTTATGACAAAGTTGGCTAAAACCAGCCAGCAAGTGCAGAAGTCATTAAAGTAAACTGAGAAGCAGATTAAACATTTTCTTTGGAAACCAGATTAAACCACTAGATGCAAAATTAACAAAGCATGGAAAAATACCAGAACTCAGAGAAGACAAGCCTGGAAAGAAGGGGGAAGCATTTGAAAACTTGAGATACATGAAGGGTATGAGACCTGATGCAATTTGTCTCAGAAAGTTTGAGGTCCCAATGAATTCACTGCTGTCAAGACATACTTAAGTAGCAGCAATCACTTCATTATCTTCGTAAACCAAGACTAGGAAACCTTTGTCTCTCCATCCAGGTGTACAGAGCAGTCTTAAGTTATGTATTCAAAAACAGGTAACATTTTGTGTTCCACACTGACTGAAGCTACTTCTGCCCACAGAGACAAGAATGCTCCACACTAGAAATGATTCCAGATCCAGTCAGGGGCTGGTCTTCATCAATAAAACTCTTACCGGGGAATGTATTTAAGTTACTGTATAGGGATTCTCACTAAAAGACACGCTATAAAAAGTAGCTGAAAAGGCATGGTCATACTCAAGCATAACACAGGGAGCCATTTAGATGTCACAATCTAACATATTTGTCAACTGAAAAATCCATCAAATATTTGAACGTATTTTTATTAAGATACATTATTAAGTTCTTTTCATTGCATCAAGAGCATCAAAGTATTCAACTCACACATTCTTCAGGTGCAGATTCATTTTGGACAGCATTTCTTAAAGAGAACACTGGCTTATTCTTAACTGAATAACAATTATACCTTTATGTAGTTTTTAGCTAACTTAACAAATATAGTAAGACATAAATATTCTAAGTGTGTAGAACATTCAGCCATCTTCCAATAACACTCTATGGCATGTTTAGTAAAGCAGATCCTACTATTTTAATTGCTTCATATGAACATAACAAGTTTAAAAATTGAAGTAATTAAAAAAAATATTCTTAAAAAAGTAGTACTTAAAAGGTCCACATTGCTTCCAAAATGCTGCCAAAGTCCTCATGACTTTTAACATATTTCAGTTTTAATTGGCACACAGAAAGCTTCCTTCTGAACTGAGATTGCTTTGTTACTCAAAGAAAATTTATCAAAAATACAACTAGCAGGCAGGCTGCTGCTAAAGTCATACCTGAGACATGCAAGTAAGTAGCAGATCTCCTAATTACAGAGAGCAGATCCAGAGTTTGATCTTAAACAATGGAGAGACATCTTCAGACATTATAGCTTGAAGCTCTTCTAGCCATCCACAGAAAAAGGTGGATACGTGCATTTCATCCCAGCACAAACAGCTACTCAAAACAGGCAACCCTGAAAAACGCGACTGCAATGATACCACCATGCTTATGTGGCACAACGTGCAGGAGGTTGACTATGGTTTTATCTAATCTCTCATTCATTAGCTCTTTGGTTTTTTCTATCTAAATTTCCCCCGTTTTGATTTTCACTGTCTTCTAAAAAAAATTACTGTAATGGTTCATTTTTTCTTTTTGTCTTCTAAACAATACATACCCTTCCATGCCTTTAATCAAAATATCAGATACGTTTTAAACAAATCAGAGTTATATTTTTGGTATATACCATCTTTTGCAGTATTATCTGACACAATACAATTCAGAATTTCTAGAGCATCATCAAAAAAAAAAAAAAAAAAAAAGAAAGGAAGCTTTTCTTCTTCCACAGAATCACATAATGGTTGAGGTGGGAAGAGACCTCTGGAGGTTTGAGGTGAAAAGGGTGTTCCCGATGTTCAGATAGCATCTCCTGTTTCAGAATGTGCCTATTCCCTCTTGTCCTGTCACTAGGCACTACTGAAAAGAGTCTGGCTCCCTCTTCTTTGTCCCCTCCCTTCAGGTATGTACATACATTGATGAGATGCCCCCTGAGCCTCCTCCAGGCTGAACAGTTCCAGCTCTCTCAGCCTTTCCTCATAGGCGAGATGCTCCAGTGCCTTCATCATCTTCATGGACCTTCACTGGACTCTCTCCAGTATGTCCATGTCTCTCTCGTATCAGGGAGCCTGGACACAATACTCCAGAATAGAAGGGAAGAACCACCTCCTTCAAACTGCTGTCAACATTCCTCCTAATGCAGCCCGGACACCACTGGCCTTTCTTTGCCACAAGGCCTGTTGCTGGGTCCTTTCCTGCCAAGCTGCCCTCCAGGTGATCAGCCCCCAGCACGTACAGGTGTCCGGGCCTGCTCCTCCCCAGGTGCAGGACTTCGCGCTTCTCCGTACTGAACCATCACCCCATTTCTCCAGCATGTCGAAGCTGTATTCCCTCTACAGCTAGTAAATGAATTATAATCTGACATCTAGCCAGGCTTTTAGTACTGCACAAGGGTTATCTTGAAGGGATGAGATAAAGTGTCTACAAACAGATACAGATTTGCGAGGTAAATAATTTCCTACCATTTTTCAGTGAAATTCCTGAACCTTTATAGGATCAGCAGACAAGATCCATACATACTAATCTTTCACAACTTCATTTAAACTTTTTTAAAGCTCATTTATTTTCTGCATTCCTGAGGAAAATTATTGCACTAAAATGGCCACTTTGGTTAAAAAAAAAAAAAAAAATCAGCTGTTATCCACTATCTGGTAAAAGACTGGTAGACAAAAAAAAAAAAAATAAAGATCAGTGTTTCATTACAAGGAAAAGTGCGAAGTACCTCATTTAACAGTCTAACAATAGTTTGGAAACTACTTTCCTGAGCAGCAACTCTTCTGCATTAGCTCAGCTGGTGAGACAGGCATATCTCTGACTTTGAACTATTATTTGCCTTCAGTGCAGATAGGAAAGATTAGTTATTATCTTTCTGATCAGGGACATGGGAATAGACAAATTTCCAATTAAAATTAATTTGAAAGGAGATATAACTAACTGTCAAAATATATTTGAGGGACATTAGACATCTTTTCATCTTACAACACTAACACTGAAACTTGCTGCTAAGGGCAAAGAATTTTCTATGAACTCTACTTGGCTGCATGGCTGTGGAATTCACTTCTGCAACACTGGTAAGACACAATAGACTCCTGCCACTTTTAGATATAGATATACTGAAAGAAATCTTCTTAAAGAAATCCTACATCAATCACTTAACAGACATGTCAACCAAGGTCTCATTTGAAACATAACCAAGTAGCCCTTGAAAGCAAAAAAAAAAGTAAGTCAAAATACTGTACCAGTTCTACAAGGCACAACTGGGAATATCTTTTGTCTTAAAAAAGGATTCACATCAAACACCTTGGAAAATATTCTACAGCAGCTTCCATCAGAACTATCTTGGCATTTTATGTCATCACAGAACTAGCATGGTCATCTGACGGTACTCAAGGGTATAGTACTAGCTACATTAAAGATTTTAAATAAGGACTGGAATATTAAAATATTACACACTTCTACATCCTAGTAATTCTTTTTTTCAATGAAGAAAACTCATCTTCCCATTTATAAGAATATTGTAAGAAGCAAAACCAGAAAAGAGGTACACAAACATATTAATACTTTGCATATCAACGGTATGAATTAAACAGCATTTCTAAAACTCAAGCACTGTTCAATGCTACATGCAGGGATATGACCATGAAATTCAATTTACCTCTTTAGACAAAGTACATTATGAAGTAACAACTGAGGATATAAGATGAAGTGACCTGAAAATGCTAAAATAACTCAAGCTCTTTGTCACTGCATAGTTTTGCTTTTCAGAAACTACTGATATCTTACCTTTGTTTTGCTGTATTTGCATTAGTCTCCAAGTTACACCAAGCAGTCTGTTCACCTGCTTGCTATTCAGCTTGCTGCCATCCTGAAGAGTATCTGTCACAAACTTCCTTATCATGTCCAGCCAACCAGAATCCATCTGAAGTGTTGAAGTGCTTGCGAGTGAAACCATTATGTCACACAAAGTTAAGTTCAGTAAAAGATGGTCTACGCTGTTTGATGATGTCATACAATACTTGTTGCTAAGGGGGGGGAGAGGGGAAGAAAATAAAAGAGATTTCAAAAAAATATATTATGCCTTTTAATACACATTACTTTGGTAGAAATTAAACTACGTAGAAGAAAAATTTTAAGTTTTAAAACCAATAAGCATTTTAAAAGTCTTCATAATTGACATTGGGTACTTGAAAAATTTTGTTCTGCCACCAAAATGTCTGTTTCTCATATTTATAGTGGCAGCAACTACCAAAGCTCTAAATTGTATCTATATCTGTTTTTCCTGTTTGACATTTTTAACCTGACCCAGCAACACTTTTAGGTGACTGAAACCAGCAAAGAACGGCTAAAAAAATTGATCCTTAGTTTCAGTCTCTTCTGTGTTTCTTCTTCTGTGAGGAATCACGTGGATTTTGTCATTATTGCACAATGACAAAAAGCACCATGAACAGCATACAGGAATCCATTTATGTATTTTTTCCTAAACACATGTGGAATGAGAAACATATTTTCACCATCACAATATTATGCAGGACCACCCTGTTGCCCTACAGAGGTTTGAAAGACAAAATTAAGGGATATTAAGAAAGGAACCAAGGGTATTGCAGCTTGACATATAATGCTACAACTTCTTTACTTGCTGACTGGTCACTCACAGTATACAAGACAAAAAAAACAAAATCACAGCATTTATCTACAGAATGCTGCACAATATGAATACCTGCATTCAGAACACAGAGTAGAGCTGTGAAAATCAAATAACAAAAAACACTTTAACTTGCACTAACATAAGTGTAGTCACCCTTCAGTTCAGAGTCAACCTTTACAATATGAGCAAATAAGCCTCAACCTGTGGACATGACTTACACATGGCATAAATACTAATAACTTCATGTTCAGAATATGTAGATACTAAGCTCTCTCAGTAATGCTGTGGTAAATTTCTGCAATATTTTGCAAACCAGAGAAGGAAAGAAGACTCAAAGTGCCATGTAGGGTTTCCAAATGCAGGCCTTCAACCCAGGGTATTGGTAGGCAGTATACTGGTAACCCCTCTGCTGTAGTTTGAACCCGGCTGGCAGCCAAACACAGCCACTCGCTCACTCTCCCCTGACCCTGGGTGGGGAATCAGAGGGGTAAAGGGAGACTTGTAGGTTGAGATAAAAAAAAGTTTAAGAATTGAAATAGAATAAAACAATAAGAATAAAAGAAAGTACAAACGGGTAATGCACAATGTAGTTGCTCATCACCTGATACCCAGCCCGTTCCCAGCTAGCGATCCCGAAATACCAAGATCCCAAAATCACAATCCTGGAAGCGAAAGAGAACCCCTCCTTCCTGGCTGACCCTCCTTTATATACTGAGCACGATGTTACATGATATGAAATATTTCATTGGCCAGTTTGGGTCTGGTGCTCTGGCTCTGCTCCCCCCTCCAGCTTCCTGTGCACCTGCACACAGGCAGGACAGGGGTAGTTGGAGAGTCCTGGATCTCTCAGCAACAACTGAAAACATCAGTGTATTATCAGCATTCTTCTCATACCAAATCCAACACTGAATCCAAAACACAGCACTATTCCACCTACTAGGAAGAAAAATTAACTCTATCCCAGCCAAAACCAGGACAGTCAGGATGTCATCTACAAGACAACATGGTTGCATTGCCTAACTACTAATTCTGAGATTTTCAGTTTCAGGAAGGGTGTTCATGCCAAAACGTGGAAAAGGGAAACACTTTTTGGCTTTATGAACTTAATGGTTACGACTTAACTGAAATGTAAGCATTTAACAAAGACGTATGCTGTACTTTTGATCTACGTGCCTTTCCAGGAAGAGAAAACGCAACAGTCAAAATATCAAACAGTATTGTAGCCTCAAGCATATCTGCACCATGGTAGACCCTTAGTATAAAAGCAGGTGGTTCTGCTACTACAGCTCAATCTGCAGTGGCACAGTTTGCAAGTATTGGAAACCAAGACAGACACTGGGTGATATCCCTTGTACATCCACCTGTCTTCTACCTAGACTTCAATGGCGCAGAATGACTCCAGAACAGACTTTGCATGAATACAGTCTCACATATAGGAGCTGAGAGGGGAGACAGCGTGCTACTGGCCTGCACCAGAACACAAATGATGCACCCACTCTGCCAGCTCAACACCAAAGACACATTTGGCTTCTGCTCCAGTACTGCTTTGCCATATGGGACAGGCACAACGTGTCCCATCTCCCCTCCCAGCTGGATTTATCCAGCCCTGTAATACAACTATAGAGAAGCAGATGTAGGTGAAAAAAATGTTTTAACTATGATTTGATGTAATTCAGCAGTCAACTGAAGAAAACATGCAGAATTATGAAACTAGTCAGACTAACACAAGTCACCAGTTAGCAATATGCAAATTCCAGATCAAGTGTTCAGTAAAATATTTCCATTTCTCTACAACAGCATTTTAATTTCTACCGGAGGCTATTCAGATGACTTCCTATACAATACTTTTACAAAGAACAACCAAAACTTCTCAATTCAAAGCAATGATACCTTCCTATAAAAACTTCTCTACAGATCTTCAAGGAATATGCAATAAAAAGTTTTCTTTTCCAACATTAAAAACCTACTACTGGATAAAACATATGACTCACATTGTCTCTCTTATGAAATTAAAATCTGTAACATGACATTGATTTTCTTCTTACCCTTTGCACGAATCTTTCTTTTTGTGCTTTACTGTTTCTTGTAAAGAATAAGGAAAATGACGCATGAAGTGGTGCTTGAAATCAACAAGGTAATTCATTCGAAGCCATAGTTCCTGTTAAGGGAAGCAGATGATAGACAGGAAACATGGCAGTAAGTGAAGTACATCAATGCAATCACCTTCCAAAATCCATTATTGGAATCCATGAAAAAAAGGAACTTTAGCTTCTGTTTGCAAGTTTTCATATATATATATATATATATATACTCTCAGATGCAAATGTGAGCTTCTGTGCATGAACATGAAGGTTCACAAAACAAGGGAGTAAAATGATGATATAAGTCAAGGTTGAGCAACAACACTGAATCCAAACTGGACCAGGAGATTTTCTTAGCACATATTAATGTGGATATATGCAATATTAAACTGAATGACAGATGTGAATTGAAAGTGCCTTTATATCACTTTATCAGTGTACTTAAAATCAGAGTGAACTCGTGATTTACTTGCAGTGACTGTCCTGAGTTTTCCATTAAGACATATTCTGGCACTGCCTTCATCTTTCCCCATCATTAGTGTGCTTGTAGTTCAAAACCCACTGACAAAACGCTTCCCAGTAGAAAGGCCATCCTTACAGAAAAACCATTTTTTTTTTTTTTCAATATTTAAGAAGAATTTTACTTTGTGGGTTAGCAGACAGTCACAGACACCATTTTACAAAGTGTCCAGCAGAACTCATCACAAAAAAAGCCTGCCTGAACGATTTGATAGCAATGCAGAATAAACTTTTTGATATTCAAGTATTAAGAACAGAGAATGATCACTAAAATATTTCAAAGAATAACAAGTTTCCACTAAGCAGATTCAGAGTGATTTTCCAAAGTGTCTGTAATAACCACTTTAGCCTGTAAGCCCAAGGGCTATTAAATAGGCAAAGCTTCCATTTACAAACTGAGTCCTTTGAATACATTTTATGTATAAAGGTGACTATAAAGGAAAAGACAAAATAAACTTGTTTATCTAATCCAAAATACAATATGCTCAAGAAAAAAAAAAAAAGTTGTATGGACATCGGGGGGTTTTTTCCCCCAAAATATCCCAAGGACATAATGCAAATGTACCTAAAACAGATCACATCTTGAAACAGGAGCACTCTTTCCATGTGACCAATATGCAGGAAAAGGCCAGGGGCAGTAGGCTGCCACAGGTATTTACCTGGCCAGCTGCCTGCTTCCTGCTTGCTTCCAAGAGGCCCACTAGAAAAGCTGAAGAGGAAAAAGGGGAACAGCATGTTTTGTTCAGACACACTGAATCCATCCCTCAGCCTGTGTATGTTGGGTAACCCTGGTCTAATGTAGCAATTACAAAAACGTTATTCGGTAATTCTTCTATAAGTAGATTTTCATTTAGCAAATGGACCTACAGTCTTATCCACAAGTAAAACAAAGAGCTGTCAAGACATTCCTTCCACCTACTCTCAACAGTCAAAATGGAAAGAGTGTTCTTTTTCCAGTTTGCAACATGTTTGGAAGAGCATCAAAAGTTACCAAAAAATAGCAATTCATTTATCAGTCAGACAAAATCAGGGCAAAAAAACTTCAACAATATTTTCCAGAAGTCTTACTGAGGTTTTGAATCAATGCCTTGTGGTACTACTAGTCATGACACAACAACATAGGTTGCACCAATTACAGGATCTCATCATACCACCATTAACCCCTACCTTTCCAAGGGTTTATTTAGGGTTTGTTCATTTCCACCTCCCATCTCTGGAAAATTTTTCAACACATAGAAACAAGGAACTGACAACTCTGTTCTACACTTTGTTCACATTTATATTCTAGAGGTTATCTGAGAGACAAAATGCTCTTCTCCAATGCCACCTTCAGTTTCAAAAGCTTTTGTGCTGCAGTCTGTCAAGAAGGATTTCTGGAGACTATCACTGAACTTGTCACTCAGTTCAACAGATTCTCTTCTAGAGTAAGAGACTTGACAAAACCCAGACTCAAATTCTGCTCAAAACCTATGCTCTATCTCCCTTAATAAAATATTTCCACTACTTCCAATCACCAAATCACTAGTTTCCAATCAAAACAAAATGAACTGTCATTATTATGCCACAGATCACGTCTCCCTTACCATTTTGTATGTTTCATCATGTCGCTTTGTGAGTTTCCACAATAAATGTATTATACTAAGCACTTGCTGCATAAGCTGCTGAGATTCTGATTCCAAAAGGTTTCCAAGAATGGGAGCTGATTGTGCAGGAGATGCTTCAATCCAGCACTCAATCAGTAATGGAATTATTATCTCAATAAAACCTTTTAAGTTTTCAGCCGAGGACAGGCCTTTTTCTGCACTGTCCATTACACCTGCCAGAGACCTAAATGACAAAAGCGGGAAAAAAAAAGAAAAAAAGAAAAAAAGATAAAGATCACACCTTTAAAAACAGATTAGAGCAATACCACTTTCCTGCTTTTCAAATAACAGGAAAAATTACTTGAATATGTTGTTTGCTTGCTTTCTTGCTAGGTATTTCAGTGAGGAAAAAAGGGAGTTCAAACCATCTACAACAAACCTGCTCCCGAGTCTCCCTGCAAGTTTGTGTGCTTCTGTAAAAACTTCTTAAGATTTCAGTATTTCTTTCTCCATTGTTATATGTAAAGTCTATAAAGTGGAGAAATATGATTTGCATTATATCACCTTCAACAGATAAGAATTCACGTACTCAGCACAACAAAATAAAAGCTCCAAGCTTTAAGCTCCTTGAAGCAAAATAATGAAACTGACTACAAGGTATTGTCAAACTCATGAGGTTTATTACAGTTAATAACAATTTCTAGCTATTATAAACATAATGGTAGTTCATATTAATAGAAAAAAAAACAACCTTTTGCAAAAACAAGTTTAGTTCCCACCTGACGTTTAACTATAACGCTCTGGAGAGCTACTAGCTGGAAAATTATTAAAATGATCTAATAATGAAATTAAACAAAAATTAAACTATATCTCTTCATTTTTTGATAAATTAAAAGAACATCTCCCAGAAAGCAGAAAAACAAGGACATTTTTCTCCCCCCCTTGTAACACACTTCACTTGTGTTTCAAAAGGGATTATCAGCACAAATGACTAAATCCAACTCCTGGATAAATTCAGGCAATTTGTAACCATTGTAAAAAGAAGGTTATTTAAAGAAAGAACTCTCTGAATAACTCCTGCTAATTTTAAGCAATACAGAAGCTTCTGAAAAGATCTTGAAATAACAAAAGCCCTTAAAAGAAAAAAAAAAGACAACACTAATTTCAACTGATGATTTCTGATATTGTTTTCCACAATGATTTTGTTTTCTAACTCACAGCAGGGAATTGCCATCATAACTTCTTAGTACACATAAAATTGGTACGTTGAACCTCCTGTTAAACTCCTTCCTATTTCAGTGACCTCCTCCAACTGATTTTTCTTTACATATGCACACAAAATAGGATCTGAACAAGTATTTAATTTCTTTCCACAGATAAGGTAGAGAAGTTCTGTTTACAAGTATTTGAATTTCATACTGGATTACAGAGGTGAATAGTTTCTCCTTGTCATCCTATAATTTCCAAATTATCCAATTAGTTATATCCTTCTATGAAGCTATATTTCTCATGCTGTTGCAATCGTCTATAGCATGCACATAATAGAAAATTTTATTCTGTCATTTCTCTCTGGTTGAAATTGGTAGTTTAAAAAAAGTACTAAACCAAAACAAACTCAGATATTAAACCAATGTCCTGGGTTTGAGTGAGTGGTGGGGTTTTTTGGTAGCAGGGGAGGGGGCTATAGGGATGGCCCCCTGTGAGAAGCTTCTCACTCAAACCCAGGACAACTATAAAAGGAGCAGAGGGAAGACATCTGAAAAGGAATAAAAAGGAAGTGTGACAAATGCAGGCTCTTTTCAATGAAGGTGAGATGCGAGACAGAATTTAGCTCTCCAGCACAAAATAAAATGGACATGTGGATACATAACTGGTCATAAGAAAAAAATGTCAGTTTTATCTTTAGTACCTACTACAACTATCAAACATCTTAAAATATTATAAAGCTTAACATTAACTGCAGCAACCAATGTATGTAGTCAATGTAATTTGGATTATTTATCCTGGTTTTGTTGCTCAATGTCCTTTCTATGCTGCAGGCACTGCAGTAAAGACACTAGTTTCTTCCAGACTATAAGGAGAGTTTACAGTGAAGGGTTCCAACTTAGACATTTAACTCTCAGTCATCTAAAGACACAGTAGACAATTCCCATCTTCCAGTTACAACCACCATGAATACTAAAGCATCACTCGACAAGCCAGTTGATACCAAGACCATAACCTCACCGAAGAAGTTAAGTTGTCCTGTAAATGGTATGCCATGACAGAACTACACATTCAGCTGAGATTCTGAAGTGTGAGTAATTGGCTGAGATAGTTCTGAAGTAGTAGTCTTTAATAGCTTCTCTGAAAATAATTCCTGATATTACATCAGAGCTCTGGAATTCGAGCAATCTATTTGTGGAAGACACAAAATCTCCCCATTAAGAGTGCATGAAACCCAAGAAGTTGGCAGCACACATCTACAAAAGTACCACACACACACACACACACAGACACACACAGCTACTTCAATACTTTTCTGAGACAAGGGATGGAAAAAGGAAGAATCATCCATGACAAAAGGGATACTCTACCCAGCTGCCAAAAGCATTTGGGCAAGAATACTTCCCACAGTACTCCTGAAAAAGAAGCCCCCATTTCTCAAGATAAGACTCCTCCAAATATTCAAGGTTATCAAAAGAGGTAAATAAAATCTGATCTCTGGTAATAGATGATGATGACAAAGGATTGCTGTAATCTGTCCAGTATGTATTTGATTACTGCAATATCCTTAGCAATACAGGTTCACTGGAACCAGAAGTGTTTGATGTCAACTCAAGTGTTAATCTTTCTGTCACATATCTGTTATCACTATTCTTTAATTGTAAGGCAGTTTTCAGAAACATTACTAAGAGTACTACCTTCATATCAATATGAAGTACTACTGAGGGGAGCTGCAAGGTATTTGTGTACCCCGTAAGATGCAATTTTTCTTTAAAATGCCAGTAGTTCTATAAAGTAAGACCAAACAAAAGAAAACTGTGCAACGTATCTGCCATTTGACAGCAAGAGAACAAAAATTCAACAAAGGGAAGTCAAGAAAGTGTGAAAAAAAAACAACAGAAAATAAGGAAACAACTTTCTGCTGCTTAAAACAGGAAAGTCATTGGAAGTTCATAAGTTTTTATGGCTCAGTCTAAACCAGATTACTGTCCTTTTTTGTGTGCACTGCCAGTTGCAGCAAAGAAACACCCAGTACACCAAGTGAACTGTATTTTCCATTTCTATCCGATGCACAGGTCACAGCATATACATATTCACTATACTTTGTCTTCCATTTTGGTCTCTCAAGTCTTCTTTGCTTTCCTCTGCAACTTCATTTTGTCCTTTCTCAGCAGAAACAGAAACTCTACCATTTCTCTTCAGCACCACTTCCAGTTCAAAAGAAGATCACACACCTTGGCATCACCATATTTAAGTTGCGAAGGCTTTCCATTTTTCCACACCTAAAATGAGTTTGAGGCAAAAAGCAACAGAGTCAGCATATAGAGAATATATTCTAATAATCTCTAATTCACTGTAATCTTTAATTCACACACAGTAGAAGGACCCAGCACACAGCAGAAAATAATAAAATCTTTTAAGATTTGCATGGTTGAACCACCCAGCATTCCAAGCTCAGAATCTACACTCTTTACTAAGCCTCAATACTGCAAACTGATTCTGAAAATCTCTTTCCGTAATCACTAGATTATCAGTGTGGTGTCATCCCTACCCAATGAACTTGCAAGGTTAAAAAGATACAGGAACTTTAAAAATTTAGCATACCATCAGTGGTGTTTGGAAGCCTACTTTTTAAAGAACAAAGTTGAAACTTACTTGCAGCATTAGTGATGAGGCCATCAATGCATACACGCTGCAATTTGTTACTTATGGTTTAATCAATTCATTAGCTAGTTAGGACTTGGATATTTGTGCACTGACTTCTTTAAACAGAAACACACACACACTGTACGAGATTTTGGAAGTACTAAAGCAGCATTACAGATGTTTTGCATCTCTTATTACAAGCGATTTCTGTCCTTGCAGTAATGGCCACAACAGAGGCCTGGGAATGCCTGTAAAAGGCCACAGTTGGGATTGGAAGAGACAGAATTAAACATCTTCAGCTTACTAGAAAATAATTCAGTGGCAAATACAAAAGTCACCACAGTAACTTCCACTCTTAGAACTTTGCAGATATCCACCAAAACAAGCTGTACTGGCCCTTTGTGCAATATTAATATACCAAAAATACGTGCAAATGAAATAAAATGAGAGTATTTTAGTACCTTCTGCAGATGCCCCTTCTCTTTCCATTCTTCTGTTCTGCAGCCATCAGCTTGCTTTGCCAAGATTGCCTTGGATTCTAGCAACGTTTCCTTCTATTCTTCTGGCTCCTCCTTATGCTTGCAAACGCCTTTTTGAAAGTATTTATAACCATAAGTGGATCACGATGTTTCACCAAAATCTATCTCCTTAGAAAAGCGGAATCCAATTCAGGTGACACCAGATGTAAAGTTTATTTTCCTGGACCTTGGATACAGTGCATCTTCAGCTATTACAGGGCATGGTATATCACACACTGCGTATCATTCCGGGCACAACATAAGAATCCTCTGACATACGGTGGTCCACAGTTGTATCTTTCTGACTGCAGAGATGAAGTCCACAGGACTGTTTTGTGCTCAGCACTGATCCCTTCCCCCTCCCTCAATTGGGCTTCACTGGTTTAGTTTCCAACTAAAGTTTTACCTGCAGCAGATATTGTTGGTCATGACTAAACTCTTACACTATGTTAACAACCACTTTTGTAAGAATAAACTGCACATTTTACTTAGCTTAGTATAAATTTCCTACACCAATGACAAGCAATATTCTATCTACCGAGAGGAAGCCTAGGAGAGTGGAAATGGAATGGCCATTCATGTGCCTCCACAACGACAGAAAACATCTGCAAATTCAGGCCAATACTTGTGGTATCAAAAGAGAACACCTTCTGCGCTTCAGTCTTTCAAAGGTACAAGACAGACCTAGCAAAGGATTGGGCAGTGGGTTTTATACCCTTTTCTGCCACTGACCTCCTAGATGAATTCAGTATAACTGCTTTATACCCCTTAATCAGTCTCCCTCAGCAGTAAAACAAGGACTGTGGTTTGTCTTCAAACCACCTTGATACCTATGGATTCAAGTGCTGTGTAACAGCTAAAGGGTTTCAGTTTTTCAAGTTGTAGTTCCAGGTCTCCTACCAGCAGGTATGTAACACCTATAGTAATGCACATACATGAGGATGCCAATGTTTAAAACATACCATAAAGTGGGGTGGGAGATTCCCCTCTAGTGTGAGAAGTGGGTGAATCAGAAAGGAGGAAGAGAAATAAAGATGGTTAGTTACTTGTCCCTTAACTTCAGTTCACATCTATTTAGAGCATTACTAAAAAACACACAAATCTTTCTGTGACTAAGCACACTACACTTTCTTCTATATTCATCAACATGTCTCAGATAAGACATCTTCTATCCACAGTGAAGTTCGAAATTGGTGAATTGATTAAAAATACCTAGAATTAGAAACTCAGTAGAACTTCATACAGCCAGACACATCTTATCATGCTGTCCTTTTTAAAAGAGGCTATGTTCAAAGAAAACAGACTTCTAAACTTATGATAGACTATTGACGGTGAAAGCACAAAACTTCAGTAAAATTCCTTGTCACAGTGTAAAAAACAAGCTTACATTTAATGTAAAAAAATTTTCCTGTTTGCCCCCAGGTCTATTTGATATCCTGCAACAACGTATCAATTCACATTCCCGAAAAAATGCTAGTTGGCCTTCTAAAACTATCATGAATAGCATAAAGTTTTTATCTGACAACAGGAAAGTTCATAATATATGCATAGCACAGTTATCAGCTGAGTATTCCCATATTTTCAAGCCACTGAAGTAAGACTGCACATTATGCTAAATGCCCTGAAATATGGCTAAGGGACAATCCCACAATAAAAATTAAATTGCTGTCTTCAGCAGCAACAAACCAGTTTAACATTGCGATCATACAGCCAACATTAATTCCCAAAGTAGTTAACGTTTTCTCACCTCAGTCTAAATGATGAGTTGATCTTTGGTCGTAAGCCACCATTTTCAAACAGCTGTATATGTTGCTGATTATTTGCATGGACCTTCCAACTTATATATATTGGGTTCCTCACAGAATGTGGGCTGTCCTTTTGTTCTTGAAGCCCTTCATCCTCTATTTCACTGGATCCATCTACCACAGCTTGGAGAAACTTCTTGAGCCTGGTAAGTACATTCAACCTCCACTGCTGAGAAGTTACTCTGCGATTTGGGTTAACAGAGAGCATCCAGGAAAGTTTCTCTCTGCTTTTCAGTCTTTTTGACAGTTGCTGGTGAGAAATAAGCTCTACAAAATTCTTCAACAATATACTGCTGCGGTCTGTGAGAAGAGCTGGGTATGCTTCCAACAAAACGTCCAAGACTTTCATTGAATCTTCCTGAATTCCCTCACTGATATGAGTCATGGCACTGGAGAGATGGGCACTTACCAAAGGAAAAAATGGAGCTATCTGTTCCGCTCTTATTTTTGAAGCCAAGAATTGCAGCAGGTGAACAGCTGCCCCTCTAACACCAGAATCTTTGTCTGTAAACACAGCTGCCACCTCACTTATTAGATTTGAAAGGTGTGCATCAATTATAAATGGATACTGAGACAGGAGTTCTCTGAGCCCAAGAAGTGCATTATGCTTAACCCCAGGACTATAGTGATGCATCTGTGAAAGCAGATCCTAAAAGGGAAGAAACATATATGCTTGCCATCATTATTACTTCAAGCTCTTTAGACTTCCCCATCTACTTCCAGCACATTTTTCTTAAACATTCGAAAACACATAATCTATTCTTGTGAGGTACTGCTGCTCATAACAGTATAACATGTTCAGAACAAATATGAAATTAGTTTAAAGCATAACAATGACAAAATCATCAAAATCCAATGACAGGAAAAACAAGATACCATGACTTGCCATTCAGGTAATTAGATACTCCTCATTCTTAAGTTTATGCACAACCCTACTGACTTAACAGAGGGATGACCAAAAATAAGTCCTCTCACACTTGTTCTCAAAAGTAGAACTGTGAAATCTCAGTCTCAACAGCTTTGTTCAGTTTAAGCAGAGAGCTGTAAGAGATAGAAGACGATGCAAAGGAAGGAAAGCAGAACCATCATCCAAAGAAATACAAGATTTTTCAAAAACATCATCTCAGAAAGCCTACTTTCTGAAACCCCGTCCCTAAGTTACGATCTAAGACTTTCAAAAGTTGAATGTTAATCCTAGATACTTAAATCAGTGTGCTAAGTTTTTGCACTGTTGAAAATCTTTCCCTTGGGTCATAAGCTGGTCCAGCAATTTGAGTCATTAAATGCATGGGTCAGTTTATTGTCAAAGACAAAGAGGATGTATTCAGATCCTCTGCTGGCTTTTTCTAAATTCTTTTTTTAAATAGATGTTTTTTCCTAGACTCTAGTAAACCTAGATAAATGACAAGTAATTTTCTGTAATTTCAGAATGTAATATCACAGTATACCTTTATGTTAAGTTTTCTATTTTGCGTAGGAAGCACTCCATCTTCTTTAAGCTGCTCAGGAATTTGTATGGCCTTTGTTTTGAAGGTAGTATCAGTTGCATTCTCTAGTTTAGGCTTTTTTTTCCCAACTTTTAATTTCACTTTCTGGAAATCTTCTTGATGTTTCCTTTTTTTAGTCATTCTGATTCTCTGCAAAAAGATATTCGGAATTTTAATTTGATTAAATACACTACAAACAAATATTATTTCCACCAAAGAGCAGCAAACCTCTTACTGAAGGCCACTGTTTTGATGCTTTTGCTCCAGAGACAAGATGCTAGACTAAACAGACATGCAGCTGTTCTTCTAGAGTCCAGAAAACATTCTGCTGCTCCTTTGGTTGTCTTTGCACTGAGAACTACTTTATTGAAAAAGATTGTTTGGTTTGGTTTGTTTTAAAAAGTTCCTACCGATAGAGCAACTTTTTACAGTTGACCCTTGTCAAGCCAAAGGAATTCAGTGAACTGTTTCATTTAATTTCTACATTGTTTACAAACTCAATGATTAACAGCATACAGTCTGCACGGGTAAAATAATGGGTTTAATCAAGCTGATTCACTGATAACAGCAGTATAGAATCTGAGAAAACTTCTACTACACACTGAAAAGTCCAGCCTGTGCATTTAAAAACAATAACTAGAAAGAATGGAGGAGGGGGGGAAAGAGTTTAAATGGGCACATATAGAGTAAAAAGAGACTGAAAAACTGTCATATTTAATAAAGCATAAGAAATAAGGTAGTGTGAGTAGCTATACTTAGAAATTGTACAGACATACTAGAAAAAATGTGCAACAACCAAAGAAATTAAACCCCACACTTCAGTTTCTGAATGACCTTTTAGGTTTAATATATCTGTACTAATAAAAGTACTCTTAATTCTACCAGATTTAAGGGGAAAAAAAAAATCAAAACACAATACCAAAAAACCTCAAACACTGCATCACAGGTTCATTTATTTAATTTTCCTTCCCTTGATCTCTATACTTCTGAGTTCATAACAAGACTCCAGAAGCTGATGTCACAACACTCAACACCACATACACACTGCGCCTAGACTTCTGATCGTCTGATAGACTCCTAGAAAAGGCAGAAGGGGGAGACAAGCACAAAGCCATTACAATGGTGAGGTTTCACATCTCCCAACTTTCTAATGATAACAGGTAATTTATAGAATACTTCCAGACTGAAATACTTCCAGACCTCACTGTACACAGTCTAAAGTTCATGTTGTCAGGTACATAAACTTTTTGCTTCTTCTCTTTCAAACTGCTCCTTGGGTAAGTAGGTTTTGCACATTCTTAATATCTGAACTATACAAAAAAAAAAAAAAAAAGAGAACACAATGTTCAAATTTTAAAAAGACCAAACTAACTAAAAAATAACAACAAAAATACAGCTGACTAAACCCAGAAATTTCTAAATAAAATATTCAAACAATGATGCTTTTATGGTGGATATGATCATCATTCCCCTATAAACTAGAATTCTACAGCTGACTTTCCCCAATGGGCTTCAAACTGTAAATCTGTGCTGTATTACAGCATTTCATACACATTATCGGGATAATCATTAAAGTATGCTTTACATCCAGTTGTAATTTTCTATGCTTTTAAAACAATTTAAGCAACTGATTATACAAACGTTTGACTACAGGTTAATTTCTGTTTTTCACATGCTAGCTTAAAACAGCTATATGCAAGACCACTAACTGACATGTAAATTTAGCATACGTAACCTATAAAAAAACTTGGGGTTTGGTGCCAAAACAAAAAGGTCCTTTAGTGTCCAACTATAACAACTATGTTTTTTTAATAAGCTTCTGATTTTTACCATATGCATCTTTCAAGAAATAATTACAAGATTTTCACTGTTTGATTGCAAGACATACAGAAATAACAAGAAGCTTTTGACATGAATGTTATTTGCACTTACAAAGCTTGCTTTGATGGAGATATTTAGGAAACCTCACTCTACAAGATGAACTGTTTGGCTTCCAATTAATATTAAAACCTCTATAATACAGGTGTGCACACACCTGAATGAAATCAATTAAATTCTTTTAAAAGAGGAAGCTTATAAAACATACTTTCTCCTACTAAAACAAATCAGCACAATGTACCTTGCACTGCATATTTTGGAAACAATTTACTGGAAATCTGAACATATCAACTTCCAATACACGTGTACCACACTAAATCAGAGATAAAATGGTTACAAGGCCAAAGCCACAAAAACACCACAGTGTCTACGAAATCAGACATTAAGCAAAACTGTATAGAGCATATAAAGTCATGTAAATATTTTAATGAAACTTCTTGCTGAAACAACTGTTTGCCTTTTGACTTCAATTGTATTTTTAGTTGGCCTTCCCCCAACAGGACTGAGCTAAGTGCACCTAACAGTTTATGCACGAATATAGTTCTACAATCTAAGACATTAAAATAACCACAAATCAGTATTAGCTTCCTCCAACACAAAGCTGTACGCAGCACTTTGCAGAAACTACTTCAGGTGTCACTGGGCCATCCTTGGCTCAGGCTTAGGGAAACGGCAGGGAGCCAAAGGGAGCGACTGTTTCGCCCGTGATTTACTCCCTCGCAGCTCTGAGGCGGTATCCCCAGGGAACACTGCTGCCAGCATATTCTCACAAGCTCAATCAGGAAAATCCTGAGGAGCCAGAAGGCAAGGTACGTGCCCTAACTCCTCTCACCTGATAAAGGCTTCCCCCTGGCCGATTCTCCCCCGGCAAAGGGCAATACTTACTCTCGGAGGCTCCCGCGCCGGACAGCCCCCACAAAACCTGCCAGCGACCGCGCCACGCAGCAGAGGCCGTACCCCAAAGCCGAAGCGCTGCCGAAGCGGAGGCGGCGGCTCCTCCCGCAGGTCTAGGCCGCTAAACAACCCTCCTCGCCGTCCCGGGACATCTTTCGGGTTCTTCCCGAAGAGCCGCTTCCCTCAGCTCCGCTCCAGTCGCTCTACGAGGCGTTTAAATCAGGCGCGTCAGTGCCCGCCCGGCGCCGGGGCTCCCGGCGGGGAGGCCGCGAGTTCGGCTGCCGGGAGCCCCCGCGGCCGCGCCGGGGTGGAGCCGGGGCTCCGCGCCGGGAGCGGCGGCTGAGGGAAGCGGCCGGGCGAGCAGCCGCGCGCAGCCCCAGGGGAGGCGGGGCAGGGGCGGCCGACGCCCGCGACCGGGGGAAGCCGAGGCCGCCGGTTTCTCGGGAGCCGCGCGGCCGCGCTCGCGCTTTCCCGCCGCCCTGCGCGGGAGCGTGCGGGAAGGGGGGTGGGACGCACAAAAGGCGGCCGGTAGCGCCGGGCAGGGCAGGGCAGGGCGAGCCCGGCGGCCTCCGGGCAGGGCAGGACCGGGCGCCCCTTCCCCTCCCCCCACCAGCGGCGCCGCCGCCGAGCCCCGCGCGCGCGCGCCGCGCCGGCCACTCACCAACCACGCGGCAGCGCGAGCCCCCTTCCGCCCCCGAGAGCCTGCCCGGAAACGGCCGCCCACGTGAGCGGCCGCAACCAGCGAGCACCGCCTCCCCACCACCCCCCCCCCCCCCCCCCCCCGCGGGGAGGAGCGGCCTTCCTGCCCGCGGCCGGCGGGGCCTGGGCGATGGCGCCACCTGGCGGCGCGGCGAGCTCCGCCGCCAGCAGTGGCGGGAATGGCGCGGGCGCCGCCGCCCTCGGCTGAGGGGCGGGAGGCGGGGCCCCATTTCTTTTTCTCTTTCCGCCGGGTTGGTGGGGTCCCGAGTGCTGCCGTGGGGGTGGTAACAGGAGTGGCATTAGCAGCAACGGCTGGCAAGCTTCGGGCGTGCAGAGGCGGGAAGCGTTCGGAAGGGAGAAGGCGGGGTGGGCGCCAGCGCTTGGGGTGTCCCAGGCGGCCTCAAAGCGCCGGGCGCGCTGCGGAATTCTGTGCACTGACAGCTAGGTCAGGCTTGCTGCTTCAAAGCGGGTGATGAATTCCTAGGGCAGGCGGGCAGAGCCCACAGTCTTAGAAGACGCAGGAAGCAACGCCGGAGGAGGATGTTTCCATACCTGTCTGGAACAGGGATCGCCGCAATGTATGCCAGGCAGTGACTCTTCTGTTGCACGCTCAAAACTTCCCTGCCACTTCACCTGTGAATACACTTTTACTGTCCACTTTCTGCCTTCTAGGAGGAGTAGAAGTTCCGCATTGTTTTTTGTTAAAAATCACTTCCCTGAAGCTCTCTGTGTTCTAAGTAAAACATGAAAAGCTAAAATAAAAAATATTTATCTTGGTTTAAGTTTTCTTGCTATTTCTTAAGTTTTATTTCTATCAACTCTCCAGTTATTCCAGATGTCTGGCTTGCTGCTACTGTGAGAAACAAAATGTATAATATTATTTAATCAGTCATCAACATCGTTTAAGCATCATTAATAAAGAAAATGCCTTTTTCCCTTACTTTGCAATTCTTGCACAAGTAAAACATTATCTTCAAAAGCAGTTTTGGAACAAACATGCAGTTTTCCATTAGTGTAAGAACACAGCAAGCCATCACAAAACACAGGCAGGTACAAGAACAAAATAATATAATTCTTTTGCAGCATCCATCTGTACCAGGAAACCAAACAAAACAAAACAACTAAGGGGAAAATTGTATAACTGAATAGACTGTTAGACTGTTCTCAGAAAACATTCCCAGAAGCATGTACTTCATGACTTTTACACAGTTCAGTTTTCTCAGCTGTCTTTAAGAAGCAACAGCAGCACTCTGCAGCATACTGTTCAAACCATTTTATATCAGTGTGCTACAGATTCAGAGATCTTTCCATTTTCAGCATGTTCCTCCTGCACCCGAGGGGAAAAAAAAATAACAAAAAAACCTCCAAGTAATTTCAACTTAATTTTAACTTTATTTCCACTAGGAATTATTCCACAGTAAAAGGAAAATGAAGCTGTTCCAGAGATGGCCATATACAACAGCTGAACGTTCTGATTTTATTATTTTAATTAATAGAATGTTCTGCACTTTGAAAACAAACAAACAAACAAAAAAACGTTTCTATTTTTATCTTCTGTATTACAGGAACAGAATTCAGAATTCCCTAGCAACTAAAAGACGTTTCTACTGATCAAGTTTATTTTCATTAAGCAGGTATTAACATTTTCCCTATTATAGGGTAAATGAGCTGTAACAGCTCTGGTTCCATCTCTGCTTCTGACAAGAACATATTTAGAGGCATTCCAGAAATTCTTCACAATTTCTTTAAAGCAGCATTTTGTGTTTTAATTTCTTTAATTGTCAGTGAACTATTTTCATTCCTGTGTCAGTTCACAGAACAAAACTAACCAATGTTGTTGCTGCTTTCTTTGTTACCTTATTTTTATGGCATCTTGCATTCCACGACATGAAGATATGAAACCATCAGGGTGAGAATTCTGAATTCCACACAGATCTCCAAAAAAAAAAAAAAGCAAGTTAACATTAAAAGGTTCATTTACCATCTGGCCCCAGTATGTCTATATTATACCAGCATTTGGCTGCAAAGCCGAAGAGCTTTAATTAGAACCACTGAATGCTACCCAACATCACAAGCAAGAAGCAAATTTTAATTGTAAAATTTATTTTAATTTTTTTTCCCAAGCACACTAATTAGTAACCATCCAAAACACTTTTCATCATCCCACAAAAGTAGTAGTCACTAATATATAGACCTTTACATTCAGTCAAACACATTACTATAGTTGGAAAAAGGTTCACATCAAAAGAGCCTGAATTGAAGGACCGTATAAGCCAGCTTTCATTTCATTCTCATACTAGTGGGATAAGAGAGATACTTTCGCTACCACATCAGTGCCTCTTAACCCTAGTGTGGTTAGATCTCCTGGGACATACCCCTGGATGTTGAAGCATAGCCAACCTCTGTTGACTTTGCTAAAGCTTTCAATTGTCTAGGCTCCCTACACTGGCACTTCTCCAGGCACTTCTCAACTCAGAACTAGACTGACAGCACTGACTTTTTGTTATTATTTTTAATCTTTATTAAAAAAAAAAAATATGTGGAGACCTAGTCATAATCCTTATACGGGAGAGGATTTTTGATTACAAAAGCTTTTGAGTCAGGCCCAGCAGCCATACGGAATAACTTCCGAATATTTGTTGTAGGATGAATTTATACTGCTGACTGCAGTAGTTTATTCTGCTGATAACTCTTTGTAAAAGAGCCAACAATAAGAAAAGATCAGACTGTCAACGTACAGTATTTAATGATACTGAGAAAAAAAACAGTTACCTGTTTTAAAAATGTGTTTTAACATGGAAAGAAAGAATATGAGCTTTACAAACTTTCCACCACTGTACAGAAATTCCAGCTATATGGAGAAATAAATAACAAGAACCTCAAAACCAAATTATTAATTTAATTAAAATAATGCTGTACAGAATTTGAACATAGCAAAATCAGCTACATTGAGTTCATATTAAATAAAACAACAAACTTACAGAAAGTAAACATTGCTATATTAACTCTAACTACTGTGTCACTGTGTGATGCCATTGCTTGGTCTTCTCAGAGTTCCACTTTCAGTCAGGATCCTTATAACATTTGGAATATCAATTCCTTAGTTAAAGGCAAACAAACAAAAACAGAAAATAAGCAGGTTTATGATAAAATGCATTTAAAAACACAAGTTATACTGAACTACTTAGATGCTGACATGAGTTTGGATCTTTTTCTTATTACATGAAAAATACCGTATCTGTTAACAATCAGAATGTGCCTGGAAGCTATAACTGTGTTGCTATGAACAGCTGTACTGAATCAGGTAAAGGGTCTGTCTTGCCCCTCTGCTCTGTCTCCAACTTTGAAAGATCTGTGGCTGACAATCAGGAAAGCATGACCAGAAGTGCTTGATTTTCTTACTGTAACAGTAGGACAAAGTGCCCTCTTCTGAACACAAGCAAGAAGGTCATGTTGCTTTGATGAAACTAATGCCCCCGGCATTAGGAGAGGAAGAGCAGAAGAAACACAGGGACTTCTTAAGTGTTAATAATAAACATTCAGCACCCATAACCTAATGCTAAGGGAAGAGCAAGAGCAGTGCAAGTATGCCTGATGCTTGGTGGCATGTGGCAATACTATGTTCTCCCCATCTCAGATCATCTTCAGCTCAGAAAACTTTCCAAGTCTGATACAGGAAGCTTTTCAATAGTCATCTTCCAAACACTTGCTCAGTCAGCGAAGATAAGGACACATGTAGTATTGTATCCATGGTATCCTTTTGCTAGGAGTTCCATAGATCATCCACCTACTACTGCATGAAGAACCATCTCTTTTTGTCCATTTTGAAACTGGACTCCCACACTACTCCAAGTTTATGGATCGAAAGAGATGGGAAATAACAGAATCCTGTCATCCCCATCCACTCATAATTTTACAAAGTTCTGCTGCAATATCTCAGTCATCTCTTTTCCATGCCAAAAAGAGTCCTAGCTTTCTATTGCTTCTTATACAGAAGATATTCCCATATTCTGTTGCCTTTTCTCTAAACCTTTTGCAGCAATAAAGTCCTTCATCTGAAATAAGGGAAACAGAAATATATGCCCTATACCAGATACAGGTAAAGCATGAATTTATGCAATAGCAAAATGATGACTGCCACCTTTATTTCCATTCTTTTCTTAATTCCTTGTATCCAACATATTCTTCTGACTGATAAATTGGTATTTCCACTGATCTGATGAGGAGCTTTTGAAATTTGTCAGTCAACCAACATTTTTAACTGTTTTGAATTTGACAAAATTTTGTGATCCAGATACTCATCCCCTTTTCCAGGTAATTTATGAAGACACTAAAACAGCACAGGTCTTAAGCACAGGTGCATGGTTCTCTACTGGAACTTCTTTTCATTGTAAAAAGTAATTGTCCATTTGCTATCTGTTTACTATTTAAACAATGCAAGGATTTCCCTCTTTTCCCACAGACAATGTAGTTCCCTTAAAAGCTTCTGATTAGAGTACCTATCAAAAGCTTCTTGTAACTCCAGACAGACTATATGAACTGGATCACCTTTACCTGACTCCTTTGCTGATCTGTTTCAAACAACTCCAGAAAGCCTGTAAGGAACATTTTCTTATCACAAAAGCCATATTCATTCCCCATCAACCACTCTAGGCAGATCATCTTTTTCCAGGTGTCCACTAATTCCTGCCTCATTTTTCTAAACAGTAGAACAATAGAAGCTGGTAGTTTCAAAGATCACCTGGAACCCTGTACTGGTTTTGGCTGGGATGGAGTTAACTTTCTTCACAGCAGCCTATATTGTTCTGTGTTTAGGATTTGTGGCCAAAACAGTGTTGATAACATACCAGTGTTTTGGCTGTTGCTGAAGGATGCTTGCACAGCCTCAAGGATTTCTCTCTTTCCCACTCTGCACCCCCACAGTGATTAGGCTGGGAATGGGAAGAAGACTAGTAGGGGACACAGCTGGGACAACAGACCCAAGCTGGCCAAAGGGATATTCCACGCATCATGCTCAGCAAGAAAAACTGGGGAGGCAAGGGCATGGGATTGGCTTCCAAGGTGGCTGTTGCTCCAAGACTGGTCAGGCAGCAGTCTGCTTGTGGGAAGTGCTGAGCAATTGTCTTTGCATCACTTGTGCCCCCCTACCCTTTCCCTTCACTTATAAACTGTTATCATGACCCACCCTCAATTTTGTTCTTCCAATTCTCTTCCCTGTCCAGATGCAGATGGGCGTGGGGGCAGCAAGCAAACAGCTGTGTTCAACACACAACAAAACTTTTTAAAAAAAAGAGAAATATACATAGAAACATGCTCGCCACTCAAGAAAGCTTTATGGGACAAATCACTGCTATCAGTAAAAACCATTTTGTTCTGGAGGTTCCTAGGACCAGGTGATATTCATGAAAGATTTGTATCAGTTTGCTACTTTTATGGATTTATGTTGTCAATTTGTTCCACAGCTTGCAGTCTCTGCAGTTTCTTCCACAGAGAACACTCAGACAAAGAATATCTTAAGCTTCTCTACAATGTACTCATCTTCAATGTTCTTTTTTTTACCCTGATGATCCTAAACACACTCTAAGAAGCTTAGAAATACACATAGGAAGCTTCTGAAGAAAGGGCAGCAGTTGACTGAAGTTGTGGGAAGGTTTAGTACCTGAAACTTATTAGAAACTTGTAAGCAAAAGGAGGACTACTTGTCTCTGCTTCATTATTGTTCTTATGTTACTGTGCAAGTACAGTTCCTTCAGGAATCAAGAAATAAAAATTTCTTTGCTGTTGGCATTCTCAAAACCAGTGTTTCACCAGTTATATCTGCTTCTTTCTAACAATAATATGCTTGATCTTAGTTTACTCTCTCTCACCATGTAAATGTTACTATGCAGAAATGAGAAAAGAGTTTAAAAAGAAATTCAGCGATTATTAACACCTTCATGGGAAGGCAGCCATTTTGAGTTACCATTCCTAAACTTAATCCTGCAAAAGCTAAAGCGGAAAAAAAAAAGTCTCTGCAGCCCTTCTTAATACCTCAAAGTTCTTTGACACATATAGTCCTTGATATTTGACAGAGCTAACAAAATTATGTTATGTATATTTTTATATAGGTCTGTATGCACGTATACATGTATTACCTCTGAAAGCCGGATTTGCTGCTGCTATTTTGTGTAGAGTAGCAGTAACTTCCTCAACGTTCATATTTCTTACACTGTTCAAAAATTCAGTAGTGATGTTGTTCTCATATGCTGTTTCTGAAGAGCCAGTTGAAAAGGTTTGGGGTTCACCATCTTCATTTACTGATAAGGACTGCATAGCTGATCGACTGCTTGAATAGTCTTAAAGAAGAGAAATATTGTTTTTCAGTAAGAGAAGGTTCTGAAGAGTCTTTATTACTTATTTCTCTAAATAGGGCTTTTCAAAACAAGCGTTTCCAGTCTGGCACAGCAGCATTGCTGGTAGGGTTCACATCTGACTTTGCTACATTTTCATACAACTGAGAGTCAGGAATGCTTTCCATTTACAGAAAATCCTAGAGAAACAACAGTGGGGTGGTGGATGAAAGCTATTTCCATTATGCTTACAAAAAGGAACCAGAAGTTCCAAGTCATATATTGTAATTCATGGCAATTTTTGTTATTAGCATTTTTTTAATTGAGGTTTTCAAAAGCTAAACTTTCTAGAAAAAAAAGAAAATTGACAGGGAACAGAAAAAAAAAAAAATCATACAGAGTAGCTTCACTAGTATTCTGGGTATTTTGCCTCCCCAGACATATGACTGTACTCTTTCTATGCTTGAGAAAAAATAGCAATTTGTTTATATCAAAAAGGAAATAACCTAAAAGAAATCCAGTTTACTAAAACTTATACAAAGTTCAGTGTTAAGATTAAAACACATTCAAGATTGCAAAGATGTGTATTACCAGTATCAGAGTCACTAATATCTGCTGAAGTCAGGTCAGACTGTTCTGTGGAATATTCCAATGCTGCTTCTCCATTATATTCCGTATCTAAGAGGTCCTACAAGTTTGAAGAAAGTTGTATTCAGAATTTCTTCCAGATAACCTCTTGAAATGAAGAACTACTACATTTTTAATGATTGCAAACCAAATAAAAGACCAGTATTTCTGCTACCAAACCTGAAAAATCAAGTATTTATTTGAAAATCATGCAGCTGGTAACAAACTTCTATATATGTATACTCTGCTCATGGCATCTCTCTATATCTGAAAAAGCACTGTATTTATCCAAGAATTGATACTTATAGAGCCTTATTCTCAACCTGTCAGGTCTAAAGAGGAAGAATTTTACACTCGGAATAAAATATTTGGTTAAAAAATTACCAGTTGAAAGATCAGTTTTGAATACTAAAAAACCCTAACGGGGAAAACATTTTATTTTTCTACAAATAGTAGATTAGAAGTTACTTCAGTTAGAACTTGATTGTTTTGTAACATGTCCTCTTTGACCTTTTTCCATGTGAATAAAACAACAAAACCCTATATAGAAAAAACAGAAAGAATAAAGTGAAAGTAAGCTTAATGAGGAAGAAAAAGGCAGTAAATAATTAATGAGCGTCACCTCTGTGATTCTCTAGATCTTATTGGCTGGTACTTGCCCTCATTTGTCATTTTCTACTTGTCCTGGTTTTGGCTGGGATAGAGTTAATTTTTCTTCCTAGTAGCTGGAATAGTGCTGTGTTTTGGATTCAGTGTTGGATTTGGTATGAGAAGAATGCTGATAATACACTGATGTTTTCAGCTGTTGCTGAGAGATCAAAGACTCTCCAACTCCCCCTGTCCTACCTGTGTGCAGGTGCACAGGAAGCTGGAGGGGGGAGCAGAGCCAGAGCACCAGACCCAAACTGGCCAATGAAATATTTCATATCATGTAACATCGTGCTCAGTTTATAAAGGAGGGTCAGCCAGGAAGGAGGGGTTCTCTCTCGCTTCCAGGATTGCGATTGGTATTTCAGAATCACTAGCTGGGAATGGGCTGGGTATCAGTCTGCTGGTGGCAAGCAACTGCATTGTGCATTACCCATTTGTACTTTCTTTTATTCTTATTGTTTTATTCTATTTCAATTCTTAAACTTTTTTTATCTCAACCTACAAATATCCTTTTACCCCCTCTGATTCTCTCCCCTATGCCCTGGGCGAGCAAGCAGCTGCGTGATGTTTGGCTGCCTGGTGCTTGGATGGGTCTAAACCACAACACCACTTAAGTTCACCCTTTAATTAAAAAAGTAATTATGTAGCTGTAGTAGTAGGAGTAGCTGTTGTGGTGAATGAGAAATCTGTTCAACACTGACAGTTCTGCAAGAAACACTGGGAGGGATAAAGAACAATGTTTCCTATCGCAAAGATGTTGAATGGATCACCAACAAGAGGAAAGTTCCTGACATTCCTGTTGACACAATGGGGCAATGAACAAAAAGTCATTCCAAGTGTGGAACCTGTGGAGGTGATGGTATGGCAGCATTTAACTGGAAGTACAGGGCATGCAAGTGGCAACCACAGCAGCCTCAAAGCCGTACCCAAAACACCTCCAATACTATGCCTATGTAAAGACAAGTCAGTCAAAAGTAATAGCAGAGAGGGGAAAAAGTGGGTTTCTAACAGTGGAGGAAAAAAGAGACCTCAAAGGAAACAGTCCAAAGAGTAGGACCAAACATTGCATAACAAAGAAAATTTATGTCAGTAATGCTTGATTACATGGTGAATGAAGTGAAGTCTGGGAATGGAAACGGGATACAGAACAAGAGTGTCAGGGAGGTCATCGGGGATGAGAAAAGCTTAAGTTAGCATAGAAAAGGGGTAAAAATAGCAGAAAAATTTAGATGTAAGGAAAAGCATGGGAAGTAAGAGACAAGATGATTTTTAACTTCTGTTAAAAAAAAAAAAAAAAAAAAGCAAGCACCTTTGAACAGAAATTATTAAGATTCCGCAGCAGAAAAGCTGTAAGTTTATCACTATCATCACTACAAAAATTCAAGTATTTAATGGGAAAAACTTACAATACAGTCTTCACAGCAATTTTGTTTAATTAATCTATCTGTAACAAAAATGCATAATCACAGGAATGTAAGATTTGTAGAACAAAACCAGAACAAAAGCCACATTACTTTGTTTGATGCAGCCTGCTGACGATATTCCACCAGTGCATCTGTAAGAGTCTGTGTAACTTTTAGGATAAATGAAGCATCATCTTCATTCAATATTTCAAAACTTTGCTATGAAAAAAACAAAACAAAACAATATAGAATATAAAAAATTTCCCTCTGAAAGATTAAAGTATCATCACATATAAACAAAAGATGCAGGAACCTGATTTTTTATGTCTCTATCCTTCTGTCAGACATGGCTGAAGTTACAAAGCAAATACAGTTTTTACTTTTAATCACATAAATTGGGGGTGGGAAAGCAGAATGGAAGAGGATCCTAACAGAAGGAAGCTGCAGCTACCCAATACAATCCTTTGAAAAGGAACAACCCAAGAATATGCCTGGAAATACATATAGTAAGATACTTTTCCTTAAGTATTTTAATCTCTTCCCAAGGTACCTGCATAAAAATGAATGTATACAACTTCCCTAAGGCAATACAGTCATAACCCATTTCTCTAGAAAGTAGCAAAAAGCCAAAACACTACTGAATTTAAAAATATATGTCACCTTGCCTTATACTAACCTTCTCCTTCCCAAAAAGCCTAAGAAAAAAAGCAGTCTTTGAGGCTCTAGTAGGGGAGCAAGTCCTAGCGCCAACAGCCGTCAGCGCGCACCCCATGCGTCATCCTCTTGTCTATACTAATAAAGTTCTGTGGAAAACACTTCCACTGGGCACAATGTAACAGAACTTCAGGCCTATCCTAACAATTCAAAGTCCTCTGGATGAGAAACAAACACCTTTAAACACTCCAGACAGTGGAAAAAATTAAAAACTAGCATTAAGTTCATATGTGATGACACAACAGGGATTGTATTATATTTTTAACACTAGGAGTATTTATCTCTTCTGGTTTGCACAAGTTATATTTAAAGATCTTGTCAAAAAAGTAGGTGAAAAAGGAAGATTAAACTTGGGCAAGGATATCTCTGCTATCAGATGATAAAAGAAATACAATTATTTTAATGACAAAGCTGAGCATACCGATTTTCTCAATTTAAAAAAGTATAGAGTGTGGATAATTATTGAACAACTGGAATTACTCCGTGATTTGAACAGCAAGTCCAAAACCAATACTTGTAAAATTACTTTTTACTACTTAAGAAACCTTTTGAATCCAACAACAGAAACACATAATGTAGCTTTCTTAAAAAATGACTGTAGGTACAAATAGTAAACCATTTTCAAATTTTCTGAAACAGAACATTGTTCCAATCACATTCCCAACAGCCCTCTTTTGTTCTTGGAGGACAATCATACTAAGCAAAAGGATGCCGTAAAACAAATTCAAGTTTTATTAGCAAGGTGCAATCTTTACACCTAATAATTCTCTATTACAAAGGGGAAAAAAGATTTTGTGGTAGTGAATAGTGCTTAAAATACTGTGCAGTAGCTGAGTCACAACTATCAGTAAAGACTTTTGTAAAGTTTGTCACTGATGCTTTTAATAAAAATCACCATTTCTGTATGCAAGACCACAAATGTTAATACATCTAACACCTGGCAACTGCTAGTTTTCTACTCTTATTGATTGTTTCTCTGCTGTGAATGTGTACATAACACATATTTTCAACAATTGAACAGAACAGTAAGTGCTCTGCCACTTACTTTACAAAGGGAATAGGTAGGGTTTCTTAGTTTATGGTTTGGGGGAGTGGGGTGGGGTGTTGTTTGTTTAAGTGTAAAACTTGCATTTTATTTCTTAAAAATTGCTTCTTTCCTTTCTGCATATCTCAGATACTTTTCTTCATTCTGCTTCCTCACATTATTGAATTACATCTTTCCAAATTCCTCATTTGAAAATGATAGACCAATTATAAAAGAAAGGAAAATAAATTTTAAAAGGTCGTTTTACTTAACCATGTAGTTCAGGAGTGGAATTAAGGTCTAGTTGAGAAAAAATGCATTCATTTTCAATGCAAGTCATTCCTCTGACAGTAAAGCAGTATTTTGGCAAAAACCCTGTCTAGAAATTTTAGAATGAATAGCTGTATTATAAATTTAGTGATATTAATTTTATTCTGAATTTTACCTTCTGACAAAATATGTTGTTGCCCACATTTTGGCCTTCATGTTACTTGCTACATTTTAAACTTTGTAATTCAGTGATTTTTTTTTTTTTCCCCAAAAAATACATTGCAAGGTAAGATTTAGCACTCACCAAATAACCCAACAGCTCTTCTTGACTAGTGAATTCTTCAAGATTTGCAGTAAATTCTTGCTGTTCAATATTAAAAAAAAAAATCTATTATGTGTAGTAATTATAACTAAAACTAAACATTATTATTATTATTATAGATTATTCTAGATTCTTGCTATAATTAAATTGCACATGCTTGTATGAAATGTGTACATGTGTTTTCATGACTAAGTACGAAAAAAACCTTGTTCTTAATAGCTTTGCCTAGTAATTTGCACCTAATTCATTGTCAATAATATTAATTTATATAAGCAAAAGCAAACACCATTGCCAATCATATATTAAAGTAATTATTTCCCCAACTATTTGTAAACTGGAACAACCCATTAATGGAAAAATATTTACCTCAACTTCTTTGTATTCTTCCTGTGACTGTTTATTGGTCTCACACCTTAAGATAGAATAAATAAACAGACAAAACTGTATACAATTGGTTGAAATATCAAAAATGTGTAGCCAGTCAGTAACTGATAATCAGATTAAATTCCTAACATACTACTACTGAAAGATCACATATTCTTTCCTTGAAGAAATCCCAGTGGTCCCAGACATCATTGTAGAAATGATTTATGGGGGGTTTTTTAGTGTGATCATCTAGCATGTACGTGCTAAGACATAGACCTAAGGAAAAGGTTTGACATTGGTAGTAAAAGCTGTTTTTACAATTTTACAATGTAGCCACAGAGATAACAGCCATACAAAGATTCATATGGCTAAAAGTTACTAACCCATATTTGTCCTGTTCTGCGACTAATACAGATGCATTCCATCCTTTTGCAAGCCCAGGAACCAGGGCTGAGAGTGGTTGGTTTTTTTAAATCAACCAAACGCATATGACTGCCACTGTCTTTCTTAGGAATCAAAAGTGTAGTAAAAGTAGATGATACCTTTAATGAACTCAAAATAAAATCATTTACATCTTCAGATGACTGTGCACTACAAAGGCGTAAGGAGTAATAGAAACTCTCAGGCTAATCTTGCAGAATCTTGAAGCGGAAACATCATTTGACTGCTTGCTGCCAGTGACAATCTGATCTTATTCTTTTTAAGAAGCTATATATTGAGTTCACATCTCACAGAATTCTCACAAGAACAAACAGTAAAGGAACAAGCTGAAGTCTTAATTTAGTAACTAACTTCCGAATCAGTCTCTTGCTGAAACACCTGGTTGCTCATAGTTACCCAGGAACTAGCTGAACTGGGTTAAAACACCAACATTAAGTCATTTTCCAAAGGATGCTGTTCTTAAAGTACAGGACTGCACAGTGAGAATCAGTGTCGGGTAGAAATATACAGCAGCATTTCCAGATGTGGATATCTGAACTTTTATTAGTTCCCTGTTTTTGATGTTTTCATGAACGAGTTCACTCTCCAGATTAAGAACTGTTACAGTTATTTGAAAGCCAGGAATCATAAACCTGGACTTAATCTGATTTCAATTAATCTTTTTCTTAATGGTTGCCCCATAGAAAGGCAAAAGTCCTACAAAAAGATATTTCAGGAACAAGAAAATGTCTCCTTTTACTGGATAACAGTAAACAAGCAAAAGGTGTTAGCCCACCACATCCAGGAGAGACCCTACTGGTTTAAAGTTAAGAATGTTCCAAGTGAATGTCATTAGAGCTAAACCAAAGAACTAAGTGTTGGAACAAAAGTCTTATGTTTGGGTTGATACATGTATATCCCTTATTGAATGCTTTCCCATGGTTCCTGGTGTTGCACAAAGATGACTGATGTTGGAGATATCTCCCTCACACAAAGGCTGATAGTTCAAACTAAACTTACAATAGTGTTATTAATAAAGATGTTTACAAACAGCAAGCACTGTTCCACCATTTCAGAACTACACACAATACTTAATTGTTCCTCCATAAAATCTTTTGTAAAGATGAACCTCAACCGTTACAACTATTCACTGATTATCTTTTCCTCCTAAAATCAGTTCATATACCACCCAAATTATCTGACATGAACCCATAACAGAGGGGTTTTTAAACCACAAGGGAACACTCTTTCTGAATTTGTAATACATGGGGATTATGCCTTAAGGATAAGGTGGTTAAATATAAAAACGGGTTGTATGTAGAGCAAAATCTGAGGTCACTTTACATACACCAGTTTTTCTGTTGATGAGAGAAGCTTACAGCTGAGCACCATTTCAGAAGACAAACATTTTACTCTTATAGCATGCCTTTCTTCTTCACAGCATACTCCATGCAAATCCAATGTAGATAGTTATTATCTACAACATTTTCCTCTCTGTAAATTTAAAGGGGTTTGGAGGTGGTGGATTTTTTGTTTGTTTGTTTTACTTTTCCGAGTCGTTGCCTTTGCTGCCTTCTTGAGTCTTGTTGCCTTTGCTGCGTTCAATAGCCTTATTAGGTTCAACCTTCTCATCTGGTTTTGCCTGTTCTTTTTGACTTTTTTCCTGCTCCTCTCGAACATGGTTTTCATCTAAAACAACAAAACCAATATATTTTGAAATGGTTTTCCAATATTTTAATTTAAAAGTATTCTTTACTTGGAATTTTTTGTAAAGATAGCATCAATAAAACCTGACAGCTTAAGTAAGGCATCTTGGGAAGAAATAAAATAAAAGCTGAACCTAAAAATCAAAGATCTGGTTCAGCCATGAAGCACAAGTTTGGTTTTCCTGATCAGAAATATTCTGAATGAGAACAATTATAATGCATTTAGACAGAACCCTAATCTCACCTTTGACATTAAAGCCTACAACCACACAGCAACTTCTGATGTTTCTTCAGTTACATGGTGTTCACTGATTTTTTATATTTAATTCTGGTTTTGTTTTCAAGAAAATAAGCATCTTAGATGTTGTTAAAAAAAAAAAAAAGAAACAAACAAAACTATCAAATCTATTTCCTTTGTATTCTTCTTGTGCTCTAAACAAACAGTCTTGCATGTAGCTGTTCCCATTTTTTTTCCTGACACTGAAGAGCAGCTTATATGCCCAAAAAGAGTCTGTGCCCCTTCCAACAAAAATACACATAGTAAAAATTTCTGTTTATGAATCTTGCCTTTTTTCTGTTCTAAAGTATCCAGTGACATTAAGTAAAACTGGACAGTTTTCTTTGCAAACACTGGATTATTCTTTCCTCTGCCACAGACCCCAAATCCATCCACACACTCTGCAATTCACCTTCTATAGCAGAACATAACTGTGTATATAAGCTCTAAGCAGGCACATACAGAGTAACTAATCCATGCATTGGTGAAATTTCAAAAGAAATAATTAAAAAAAAAAAAATTCTCTTACCTTGAGTAGCGTCTGGCATTTTTCCATCCTTGTTTTTACAGTCTGTTTTTTCTTCATTACTAAGTGACGTATCCACATGCTGAACTTTAGCTTTTGAAGGGCTGTCATCTGCATTAGGATCTAAACAAACATGCTTGAAATGTAGCACGATGGACTTTATCTTGATATTAAATTTGAACTACTAATTAATTACAAAATTTTAAATATTTTATACCATAGTTACAATTACGTACATACATTTCTTAAAAGATGTGATTATTATAAATAGGGTAGAATGCCACATAGCCATGTGCAAAATTAGACACATTAACCAATAGGTTGTAGTCAAGAAACGTAATTTGAATAGGATTCAACTTATTTCAAAACACTTTTCCTAGATTCAAAGTGATTCTTTCCTAGATTCTTTCCTCTTCAGAATATAACACTGCTAATCTAGATCATTATAGAAATAATCTTCTCATTACTTCTACTGAGCTATTTTAAGACACGATTTACATACTAATATACATTAAAATTAAGTACATTAGTTTTAATTCAAATCTTTATTTTCCATGCAGGTCTGAGAATGAGGGTCTCATAGCAATTTTTAGCCATTTCCTGAAGTGGCATGCAATTGTACCATCTGTGCATCTGGATTACATTGTTCTACAATAAATTTTGAAGGATTAAACCAAGTAAAGTTTCACAGATACCACGTTCCCACAATTCTGTGAGTATCAATGTCTAGTAAAACAAAGTTTTCTTCCACAGGTAAGAGCTAGAACTGTGCTTTAAGAATTCTGTTTGGCTTTCTGGATTGAAAATTAAATACACATATGGAGCTCCAACCTCCTCCTTTTGCCCAGCTCACCAAAATGCTCGTGAGCAGTTGGCACTACAGAGACTACAGTAATTATCAGATAAAAAGAAATCATAGGTAAAGAATCCTGAGAAGTGAGAGGGACTGGGGTAAAAAGAGGGAGAGAGAACAAAGCCATATAAAACACGTGTCTCTAGTTATGTTGCCCATGGAAGAACTTGTTCATCCATCAAATTTTCAACATGAGACATAGAAAATGTAGCTTCAAACATAAGCACAAGCTACAATTACTGACCAAATCTTTCAATTTGCCCTTAAATCAAGCTAATGTAGATCACAGGGAGTTTACCTAAATTAGAAATGTACAATTTACATCCCACTGAGCTCACTTACGTTCTTGCCATCTCTTCCTCGTTATTGGAGCATCTGTAACAACCTAAAAATAAAACCTACTTATGTTAGCTATTTTGTGAATAAAATGATTCTGTAGCTGTTTAATAAGAGTTAAATATTTACTTTTTAAGGATATAAGACCAGTAGTGTTAAACACGTAAGTGTAAATCTCTGAATGGATATTCAAAAAGTCAGTTACCTGGACACTTATTTACCACAATTAAATTTTTGTTAGAGGTAAAAAAATTAAATAGCTGGTTTCAGAAAATATAGCAGTATAATTAAACCAGGTTATGCATGCTCTATTTAAAAGTTCCTTAAATCAAGGATGGATTTGCTATGGATGTCGTGAAACTGCTCCTAGTAAAACAAAACGGTCTACAAAGCATAGATGGAATTAATTATTTCTATATCCATGAGCATAAATCTCAAGTAAAATATACATTATTGAGTCAATACATTTGAATTAAGTAGGTCAAAAGAAAAATTCATTGCTAATAATCAATTTTGGTTTTCTTTTTAAGAGGTTAAAAATGAAGGATATGCAGACAGATTGAATTTGGTGATCTGAAATCTCTCTCCCTTCTAGAGCATTCACTCCAGAAGAAAGACTTGATCTTCCAATATTCCCATACTTTTTTTAATCAAGGAAGAGTAGAATCAGTACAGGTTCTCATCCTTGAGCCTAGCTGTGATAGTATCACACAGAAAGAAACATGGGTCTTTTTTCAGATGGGCAGGACATAATGAGCTTAAACACAGCAACATTGTGAACGCCACTTTGAAACGAGACATAGCCTATGCACATTATGTAGCATTGCTTAAAAAATCTTGCCCAGAAACACTGCTTAGCAAGCAGGATGTTGACAAACATTGAAATTGATGGAGAACACAAATTTAATGTATACCATAAAGAACACTAAGCACCTGAGTAAGCTTGTCATAAATCAGAGTGGTAAGGTACACCTCAAGAAGAAACACTGCCAATATCCTGCTCAGATAACGGGTGGTAAAAATTTCTAAATACTGTTGTGGGGTGAACATCAACAGAAAGCAATGTGAAGATATCTTCATAAGAACATGCTTCTTAGGATGCAGCTCCCCAAGAATTTAAGTTTGTGGTGTTCCTGTGATCCCATGGCATTGTTGACAACCTCATATCCACCTGCAAATTCCCACACTTCCCTCTGTACTACCAGAACTTTTACTGGCTCCTCCGAGAATTGGCACAAGGTGCTAAGAACAGAAAAACTAATTCAGAAAAGTCATAAAGGTAGTTTCCTAGCAACAATGAAACAAGTTACTTTACACACACACCCCCCAAACTGGGAATTGATTAAATATTTATATAGATATTTTGTGTTATTTGTGCACTCCTAGAGTCATATTGCTGTAGATTCAGGTACAATGAGCATTATTTCAAACAAGTGAAGTACTTATGATGGAAGTGACCAATGGGAAATTGTGTCCAGAATAATCCTGTGAGAATTATTAAAATGACAAAAAGCACTTGTAATAAAGGTTAAAAAAAGCAAGATTTTCCTACCATCCAAAGCAGATCTGCCCACCATAACAGAAATCACTGTCTTTGTTCTTTTAATAAATAAAAAACTTCTGGAATTCTTAAAGAAATGTACCTTTATCTGTTTTCTTCCTTCTTTCTTCTCAATTGTTAATGCAACTTGCCTAACTTTTCTGTTCAGTTCAGAGCCTTTACCCTTAACTTCATCAGATTCTGCTATCTCAGGATAATGTTGTTTCTAGAAAATAAGGAAATGCAAATCCTCAAGTCATACTTTATCCTACACAACTCTTTCCAGATCTAGCACAGCTAATAATCATGAGAGGTAAATCAACTTTTACATATACATAGTAGAATTTATTAAAATGATTATCTAAAGAATCGCAGAATAATTTAGGGAACTGAAGCCAAATTTTCTGCTCAAAACAGGGTTGACACTGAATGCTGAACTGGTTGCACAGGGCTTTGCCCACTTGGGTCAGACTCTCCCATCTCCCTGGGCAATGTGCTCCAATGCTTGACTACCCTTACAGTGAAAAACTTCTTCCTTACGTCAAGTAGGAAACTCCCCTGTTTGAAATTATGTTCCTGTCAAGCACCTCCACAAAGGGCCTGATTCTGCCTTCTTAATAACCTCCCCCTAAGGTATTAGAGGGCTACTATTAGATCCTCCTGACACTTTTTCTTCTCCAGCCTGAACACCACCAACTACCTTGATCTCTCCTCACAGTGTAAGTGCTTCAGCCTCTGACCATCTTGGCAGCTCTCCACTGGACTTGTTCAATTTCATCAATAGCTTTCTTGTCGGCAGTAGCACAAAACTGGACACAATATTCTAGATATGGCCTAACAAGTATCAAGAGTAGGGGAATAGTAACTTCCCTTGATCTACTGGCTATACCCTTGTTAGTATAGATCAGCTTGCTGTTAGCCTTCATTAATGCCAAGGTACACTACTTATCTTTAGCTTGTTGTCCACCAGGACCCCCAGCTCCTTTCAGCAGAGCAAATTCCAGCCACTTAGTCTCCTGCCTTTCCCACTGCCTAGGTCTATCCATCCCAGGTGCATGACTTAAAAGTTATCCTTGTTGAATTATTATATTTTATAGTATTTAAGAATCTAGCAGAGATGCAGTTAACAAGCATAAGGTTCGGAATTGCAGGAAACAGCTCAAAGTAAAAAAGAAATGGAAGAGCTGAGAACATAAAATCTCAACACATACATCTGAATTAATGACCAGAAACAGCATGATGTTTACTGAGGACATCACTGCAGATCCATCGCAGTACACCTGATAACAACATTAGCCCTAAAATTGCTTCAAAATGCTATATGAACTCAACAACTTCCCATGACTTCAAGACACATGGGACAGAGTACCAACTCTGAGCAGATACTTTATGGAAAGTATCAAAATACTTCTCAGAATATTGCTTTCTCACTTTTGTTAAAGCCCATCCTAAACAAATATATTCAAGTAAACATTCAAAGACTAGACAGCCTCATTTTTCTAAATATACTAAAAAACATAATATATTTAAACATTTGTGGGCCAACATGAACCTTAAGAGCTTTGCAAATCTCCATAAAATAGGCACAGAACTTACATGGCTTGCCCAGCCACAAAACCGGGAATAAACCTCCCCCAATTCCAATCACAACCTCTATCCAATATGTACCATGTACATTTATAATCATGGTCCTTTTAATCTAAAGCATCTGAAAGATGGAACAATTCCTTCATTGATCCAGTTCTTTAAGATAATACAAAATTTAGTCAAAAACCTAATTCTAGTCAATTTTAGCTGTTGATTTCATTATCGACATTACTGGTCAACCAAAACAGAATAAACTAAAAACTCAGTATCAGCAATGGACAGGCATACACCTTAGTGATGAGAAGATTTTAAAATACATTTATCACAGTTGCATGGTTGCAATACAAACACATTTTCACAAGAGCTTAGGCAAACTTTAATTTTTTTTTTTTTTTTAATCTTAATATGACTATCAAAGTATCTACTTAAATCATTACATTAAAAAAAAAAAAAAAAAAAAAAAAAAACAAAAACAAAAACCAAGGCTATTCTAAAAACTTACCAGGTATGCCAGTCTATGTTTGGAACCACAAACATGCATGAACATGTTACTCAGTCCTGTTTTACAGTGGCACAGTTGACATTCATAGAGAAAAGGGAAATTGTCTTTTGATCGGTATTCAATTATATAATTAAGTCCTGTATTGATAAAAAAAAGTTAGGAAATCTGATGTTTGCCAAAACAAATAATCAGTGCTGGTTTCAAAAGAAACATTAAAGGAAATGATTACTACTGCATGCCAAACATGTGAATCAAGATTTTTAGAACCATCAGTTATTTTATCTTTTGGGCACCTAGACTTCCTCAATACCAAAGGTACAAAACTGAATTTTTTTAAGATGCCTTATATGTTGACCATATAGGACTTGACAATTAAAAAAAAAAAAAAATCTTAAAAAATAATAGCAACAATTCTTTTGTAACTATTTAGAAGAGAATGTATTTTAATATATGCCCCTGTAGTTATTTTTCCTGTCCACTCCATTTTCCCTTCCCTCCACAGGACAGGCAGTTAAATTGCAAAGAATAGTAATGATTATTTAAATCAAAGTTAATTCCTAGAGAATATTCTCAACATGTGATAACTACCCCAATCAGAAATATTCCAGGCCAAATCCAATCATTTTGTCACTAAGATCAGTCACTTTCATACTATACTATTGGGTACTCAGTGTAAACATAGTAAGATTCTATTACACATTACCTGATTTTACATTTTAAAAAAATAATCAATACTCTTTAAAGGTAAACATCACACAAGCAAACAATTACAGTATTAAAAGCCCTCACCAAGTGCAGGTTCTGAATCTTTACACGTATTAAGCTGTTCTTCCAAGGTCTGTCCATGAAACCTCTCTAGCTCAGTTTGCACTGTAAGATAAAATCAGTTTTATGTTATCTCACATCAGCTATCTGTCAAGCCCTCCAAAATGAAATGAACTCCTGAGTTTAACCTTTGCCCTTGAGAAAATATGCTCAGAAATTCACATACAAGTGAATCCCTGCTCATACATGGCCCCACATCACAAATTAAGTCAGTTATTGAGAAATACTATCCCCCCAATCCTATTTTCACTCTTTTTATAGCATTTTGTTTGTGATGCCCCCTGTGAGAAGCTTCCTGAAGCTCCCCCAGCTCCAAGTTGGACCTGTCTCTGGCCAAGGCCAAGCCAATTAGCAATGGTGGCTGCGCCTTTGTGATAACATATTGAAGAAGGTGAACCTGGGAGGAGGAGCGGTGAGGGAGACACCTCTGCAAACACCGAGGTCAGTGGAAGAAATGGAAGAAAGGAGAAGGGAGGAGGGGAGGTGCTAGAGCAGAGACTCCTCTGCAGCCCACGGTGAGAGGGCAGGCTTTGCCCCTGCAGCCCATAGAGGTCAACAGTGGAGCAGGTGGCTGCACCTGAAGACAGCCAGGACTCCGAGAGAAGCCCCTGCTGGGCCAGTTCATCACCTTCTTTTTCCTTCCCCTAACAAGTCTGGCTTTTGCCCATGACCATAACAAGTGAGTCATCCCTCCCTGTTCTTGTCTCAACTCCTGAGCCTTTTGCTTTATTTTCTCCTTCCCATTCCTGAGGGGAAGGAGTGATCGAGTGGCTGCATGGTGCTCAGTTGCCCTCTGGGCTCAAACCACAACATCACTTGTAACACTATACCTCAAAGCATTTTATTTCTTCCACGTTCTTTGTGGGGTTTTTTGCATTAACCAATCTTACCATAATGGGGAAGTTTTGCAGGTGTTTTCACTTGCTCCCCCGAGCCACTTGCTGTTTTAACTAAATAAAAAACAAACCAGAAGTGGAAATAAAATTGTAAGTACAGAAACCAATTTGGTATGAGAATAGATTATTTTTTTTTTAAGAAAACTGAGCTTTTGTTGACATGAGAAAAATAAGCTATGTTTAGTTTTGAATGTCCTATAAGGTTTTTTGGCAAAAAAAGGAGAGAAAATATTTACACCGAACTGACAAAGTTATTTAAAGTCAGGCAGTTAAATGTAGCAGGCAGAGAGGAAGACCAATCAAGCCACTAGGTAGCACACAACATGGGTTCAAACACACATCACAAAATTATTAAACAGTGGCTTAAATTGTAGGTAATTATAGCTATAATTTAGTTTATATAGAAGACAACCTGCAACAAGGGAAAAGCCTGATTGATTCATTACAGTGCAAATATCTTTTATTCTATAATGAACAAAGCTTCATTTCATAAATTTCAGGACTATGTTAACCCAATACATCACAGCAATTCAGTTTAAATCCACTGAACATGAGGTACTTAAACTGCTGGCCCACATGCTGCCTGCCAGGGCCCTTGACACAGCCCATAACTCTGCTGTCTTTTTCAAAAGGTCTGCAGTTAGCCCCTCCCAAATCAAGTTTCTTTTCTATTCACTCATGGCACCTAATACGGCTGGAGCTGCAGAACCTTAAGAAAGGTAAGGCAGAGATGACCACATAACATGATCTGCCATGGAGGAACCTGGAGAGAAAGACATCTGTACAAGCTGAGATTCTGTGTGTTTGGGAGTGAAATGCCAAGCATGCAAAGGAAGCAAGTTGATATTCCTTGAATAAGAACTTAATGTGAAGAAATTCAGAAAGCTCAGCATTTTACTACATGGACTAAAACAATCACTAGTGGTGACTGAAACACCACAGCTAAAGACAAATTTGATTTTTTTTCATTTAAGTGCCCCTCAACCCCATTACTCTCCTGTTGCAAGTAATCTCTTACTAAAAAATCAGATATTGATAACAAATTGAGCACAAGGCTTACAATAAACCCTGAATAGAAAGCGAGAGTCAGAAGGCTTCAGCCTATACTACTGCATCAGAAAGAGTCACATATGCTTTGATTACAGATAATCTTCATGAACTCTTATTAAGTATTTAAGTTACAAACTCTATTGTGTTGACAACTGATGAAGCTGCCAGCTCATTCCTGCAAATTAGATGTTGCTTAATACCGGCTGCATTATCACAAACCTTCTGAAATGATCTTAAGGGGAAGATCAGAAGAGTAAAAGAAAAGAAGCAAAGTGTTATGAAGATAAACCTACAAAGACTCTAATAACACGAATCATATTCTGGTCACTAGAATTCAAGATTTTTAGTGGCCAACTAATCCTTTTTAAAAAAAAAAAAAAAGAAATAAAAGAGGACATTATGGCAATTCACCTCTAAACATTTCAGGGTATCCATTTCAGTAGCATCCAGCTGCTAAGTACTTAATCACTTAAATTTCCTTTACAGTCCATACAAATATTCCCAGATTAGGTAGATGTAATGACTATATATAACTTAGGCCACAACTTTCAAACCAAATTCTAGTAGTAGTGTACTGTAGAAACCTGAAAATACATCATGGTGCATCATGAAACAGAAGTAGGAAAACAATTATGAACATAGTTAGACCTTCTGGAATTAGACCAGATCATAAAGACTTGTGGAAGGTTTAATGATATATTAAGTTTATTAAAAGTACCTTGATTCAGCTAATTAAGATATTTCTAATAACCTTTTTTTATAAAACCAATATGAAGTACATACAGAAAAAAGCATTCCTACATGCTTTAAGGAGCATGGTTTTTTAAAATCTATTTTAAATCTTGAAGGTCTTTAAGGTCTTGAATTCTTCAAGGTTTCTCAAAACTTAATTGTAGGTGATTTTTAGGATTGTAGCTAGTGCTTTTTAATAAACTTGGCATACCTGTTGCTCATATTATGGATTGATTTCTGTAGGGTTAGATACTTATGTCATTAAAGAACACAAAAAAGGTCTTGAGAAAGTCTTTTTCTTGTGTGTTTCATAAACACCTATACTGGGGTGAAGAGAAAAGTGAAGGTGTAGAACAGAGTAGGAGGTCAAAAATCTTGCACTTACCAATGCCATGGGCTTTCAGTGCTTCTTCAACCTGAGTTATCAAGTCATCAACCAACAAGGAAGAAAGACAGACACTTAAGATTCAAATAATAACAACATAAAGATTTCATTACTTATAAAATAAATTAGATTAACACCAACATCACAGATTACCTCAGGTGAATAGATAATTACATGAAACTTGAAAGAGACATACATCTTTTTTCTTAGATTGCCTTGAGGCGCGGAATCATGACTTTACAACCAGCAAGGTTATAAAGTAGGAATGTTTATTCAGCACTGGGCACATGGGAGAAGACTCCACCACAAGCATGTGTCACCTGGGGCCAAAAGGGGCTCCCTTTTATTGTATAAAAGGTTACATATTCATCTACTCTAATACCCATGCATCACTACTCTGAGGACAGGGAGGGAATATTACAATTAGTTCTGAGAAACCATTAACATATCCCCCCACCCCAAATTCCTCCCGTCGCGCTTGCGCTTGTGCAGTGCTTCCTGGTGGTCGTGGGCAGAGGTCTTCAGATGAAGGCTCGCTCGTAGTCTTCTTCACTGTGTTCACTAGCTGACCCTTACTTCTGTGCAAATTCAGTCCAGTAGTCCGTACACCTTGTCTTTCAAGTCTGTGCTAATTTGCAGCTCCTTTTTCTTTATGGCTCAGTGGTTCTAGTTCTTCTCTTATCTCAAGGACATGAGATACCAGAGATGGCCCATCCTGTCTTCCTTCCATTCAATCACAGGGGAGTTAAGGTCCTTTGATATGGACCATCAATGGCCCATCCTTCCATTGCAAAGGAGTTACCATCCTTTGATGGAGGCCATCTGGCGAGCATCCCAAGAAGGGCGGGCTACCAGGTTAGTGTGAGCATCCCCTGAAGGGGAGGGGCTATCAGGTTAGTGTTTCCTCAGATCAGTCTATGATTTAAATAATTCCATTTTGCATTTATTAACAGCCACCTATTCTCATGTACTGTCTTTACTAATCCAGAATATTAGACAAAGCTGTAATGTTGTAACAACATTTTCTGATAGGATTAGCGTACAAAACTCAGTTCTACTTCATCGCAGTAAACAAAATAGTAAAGCAACAAATCTTGCTAAATATCTTAAGTTGCACGTTTTAAAACTACATCAAAAATAATTTCAAACTCATATGCTATTGCTAAATAAATCTGTAAAATCTGACAAAAGGTGCATTCAAAAACTGATCTTACCGTCTTGTGTTTGAATCCAAGGAAGTGAGTCTGCAAGTTTAATGCGGAAGCACACCAGATTTTGCAAATCTAGGTTAAAGAGAAGTATTTCTAGCACTGCACACAAACCAACAGAAAATAATATCACTGATATCAAAACAAAACAAATCAGCTATCAAATATCAGTATAGGTTAAGTTCTACAAAAGTACTATTCCTCCAGAGACAAACTAAAGTAGCTTCTAGAACTTTTCTTTATGAGGCTCCAAAACCACCAAAATACAATGAAATGAAAAGGAATCTCCACCTCACACAAAAATTTCAGATGTCTCCAGAACCCTGCAGCTATCTCATAGCATATTTTTGTGTAGATAACTGAAGACTGATCCAAGATCTTCCTCATATACTATTAACCAAGTCTGAACCAGAGGCACAGCATAACTGTAACAAGCCAGTACACTTGTCAAAGATGAGCCAGTTCTCCTCAGTGCTGCATCCAGACTAACACACTGACCAGTTTGGGGCCTGCCTCACTCGCACGCATATGAAGTTTTCCAATCACAGCTGGTTTATGCCTGGGCCAGTTCAAAACAGGAGGAGATTAGGTTTAAATTAATGTGAATAAACAAAGGCAGTACAAATATTTTTTTCCTCCTCTAAAATGCAAAGATGCTTAAAAACAACAGCAATAAAACTGAGAACCAGATAAATCAGGATTTTTTTTTTCCCGAACAGGAGCTGAAGTTTAATCTTCTACTTTAAAAGAATACCTTTATTTAGAAACATAATATTATTAAAATTCTTCATCTTAGTAAGTTGGTTCCTGACACACATCCAAGTCAAGCATGACAAAGACAGCAAAATAAGTTCAAGTCCAGTGCTATTTATGAGGTTTGCTCAATAGAAAATAAATAAACTCACACTATGTTTAGTCCAACTTTGTTCTACCTAAATTATTTTGTATTAGTCACAATATTCAGTAAGGAACACTTACATTGCAGTAGAAAGGATTTACTTGTTTCTTTATCTCAGCTTCAGGATCCATATTTGGTCTTTAGATGGTAAGGAAACTCTAAGAAAATTGAAAAAAGATTGTAAACTATTGTTTTAGCTTCACAAAGTCATTCCTATTTTTGTTCCACCTACTTAAGGGTCATACCTATTCCAATTTTAATTTGTGCCTCACGTTCAGTTACATTGAACCTTTACATCTCCAGGCTAACGACTATATTTTTAACTTGAGAGCAATAGTAGAGCGTGGAAAGAAACAATTCTTCTCCAAGAGCTTCCCTCAGGAAGCACAAAGCCAGGAAACAAAACTAATCCCAACTATTTCAAGCTTCCCCTTTCTTTCCTGGACTGAAACGCGCGCTTGGGCTGGGACAGATGACACGCAGCAACAGCAGACAGGCGTGCAGAGCCCAAAGCACGCCTTTGTAACAACACGGCGGGGTTTTGTGAGGAAAAGCAGGCTCCCACGCGGGGTTTTGTGAGGAAAAGCAGGCTCCCACTCGGGGTATTGTGAGGAAAAGCAGGCTCCCACTCGGGGTTTTGTGAGGAAAAGCAGGCTCCCACGCGGGGTTTTGTGAGGAAAAGCAGGCTCCCACGCGGGGTTTTGTGAGGAAAAGCAGGCTCCCACTCGGGGTATTGTGAGGAAAAGCAGGCTCCCACTCGGGGTTTTGTGAGGAAAAGCAGGATCCCACTCGGGGTTTTGTGAGGAAAAGCAGGCTCCCACGCGGGGTTTTGTGAGGAAAAGCAGGCTCCCACTCGGGGTTTTGTGAGGAAAAGCAGGCTCCCACTCGGGGTTTTGTGAGGAAAAGCAGGCTCGGCTCCCACTCCGGACCGCGACCGGCGGCGGGGCAGAGCGAAGCTGCAAACCCCACACGCGCAGAGGCGCCGAGCAAGCGAGCCGGTCCCCGCGGAGCTGAGCCAGCACGACGCGGGGAAGGGGCCTTGCCGACACCTCCAGCTCTGCCGGGGCGGGGGACGGACACCTGCTCCAGCGGGGAGCCGGGCACACCGCCGGGCCCAACTTACCTCAGCCCAGGCGCGGGCAGCGCCCGGAGAAGCCGAGGTAGCCGGCACCCGGCGGCCCCTTCCCAGCGGCCCCGCTTGCGGGGTGACTCTCGTCCGAGCGAACCGCCGCCGCGGCTCCCCGCTCCTCCTCAGGCGGCCGCGGCGGGGAGGGGGAGGGAGGGGAAGGGAGGGAGAGCCGGCGCGCGCGCCTCCCGCCAGCCTCGCGCGCGCCCCGCCGTTACGCTCTCAACCGCCACCGCCGCCGCCAGCGGGGCCCGGGGCGCCCCGGAGCGGGCAGGAACCGCGTCACGCCAGGCGTGGAAGGGGCGCGGGAACCCGGCCGGCCCGGGAGAAAAGGGACGGGACGGGACGGGAGGGCAGCGAGGGCCAGGAGCTCCGCGCCAGCGGGCGCGGACGGGGCGCGGCGGAGGGACGGCGCGGCACTCCCGGCCCGCCGCCTCACCGCCAGGCGCCGCTGGGGGCGCTGGTGCGCGCGTCGCGCCGCGCCGCGTCGCTTCGCCGGGCGCTGTCGGAGGTAAAGCCCGAGCTGGCGTTGTACCGCCGCTGCACCGGGACGGACGGACGGGGCTAGGGACGCCCTCACACAACTCCGCTCCGCTCCGCACCGAGGAGGCGGGACGCGGGGTGCCGCGCTAGCGACGAGCGGGCCCGGGAGCTCCGCCCGCCGGCCCGCGTCAGGTGCAGACGGGGCCGCCCGTCCCCTCTCCGGGCGGCCGGTGGGGTGTTGGCGCGTCGCTCCCCACAACACCCGCACCCCCCCCCCCCCCCCGCAGCGCCGCCACACCTGAAGGCTCGGGGTCCCCCGGGACGGTTCTTCTCCCGCGGGAGAGGCCGGTGCGGCGCCGCCCGCGGCCCGGAGAGGCGGAAATCCAGCGCGGGGTTTGAGGGGAGCTGAAGGAGTGCCGGCGACCTGCCGGCGAGGAGGTGAGGGAGGCAGGCCCGGCCGCCCGGCGCGGGGGGGGAGCAGCAGAGGGGAGGGAAGGGGAGCCCAGCCCCAGCCCCAGCCCCAGCCCAGCCGAGCTGGCGGCGGCTTTCGGCGGCGCTTTGTTACGAGGAGGGAGAAACCGGGCGGCTGCAGGGCGGGGTGGCAGCGTGACCGACCGGTTGCCGTTCCTCCTGCCGCGGCAGATGTCCCTGGACCCGCGCCTCAGCCGCAGCCTGCATGCCCGCCCTGGGTGGAGCGGGCTTCTTTGTCGAGCCGGGACCTGCTCTCCTTTCTCGCTCAAGCAGAAGAGGAGCTAGCGAGGAAATAGAAACAAGCTCGAGTTAATGTCTGGGAAGTTCGGGTGCAGGAGAGTCTGGTAGGATTACTGTTTATGCCTGGTTTTGATGGGATTTCAGACAATCGTTCGAAAAAAAAAAAAAAACAACCTGCGTCCATTACCTTTTTTTTGCACAAACTGCTTTGGATGTCCTCCATAGGTTGCGGGTTGACCCGCTTAAAATATATCTATGGGGTTGTATATATAATGCAATATTATATATTTTTTAAAAATACATTTTTGTGTATGTGTATATAAAATTTGGCAGGAGAAATTTAAGCAAAGCACTGTGATTTTTTTACTAATATATTATTTTGTTAATTTGCTGGATGATCCCTGACAACTAATAATTTGTATTAAAACAGAGGGGAGGAAGCACCCAAAGAGGGGTTGGGGTTTTTTTTATATATGATTATACGTAACACAATTTCCATATCGATCTCATTCATTTTTGTAATAGGCACCTAATTACCTAGTGATTTCAGGTCTCAAGGTAGACAGGGTCAGGCCTGGAACGCTCTGATGGAAGCTCTGTGAGGAAAATCTAACATGTGAGGAAGAAGGACGCTTTACTTCTGGCTCTGTCATTCGAATTAAATATAAACCTGTTGTTTTGACTAGTTTGGGTCATTGCATTTCCGTGCATTTCTTTCATCCTCAAAGACTGGATGAAAAGGACAGAATTATGATTGATTTCCAATTATGTTAATTACTGACTGCTTAAAGCTGAAGTTGGATAAATAAATTTTCTTTTCTGTCAATCCCTAACTATTTCTGGTATTGGTATTGGTAAAGGAATTCCATTTTCACACCATAAATGACCGCTGTTCGGTAGCAAACTATTTTCTTTGGGTTTCGTTAGTGTAACCTTAACACCGGGGTTAAGTCTTCTGCCATATTTTTCTATTTGTTTTTCTTATGCCTAAAAAAAATATTCCAAGGATGGAAAATGATCACATGCCAACTTGAAGTGATTTTTTTTTTTTTTAATTATTTTTATTTTTTTAATGGGCTGCTTTGAAAGTGCTTGGAGTTTGGGTGTAAGTCTAGGCGTGTGCAAGCAAAATAATACACATATGTTCATGAACATACATGCACTTTTTCACCTGTGTAATTTTTTTCAAGATATTCTTCCAGCAGATCACAGCCTATCCCTTATAGTCTTTAAAAGAAGAATGCCACATGAGGTTTCGAAGTAAAATGAGGACCTGAGATATATTTTTGTTATTTTAAAACAATAAAGGTTTGTGTGAGAGGACACGTAATTCAGACACTGATTTGCTTTAAGGCATGCTGTGAATTGAGCCATATCAGGAGAAGATAATTAAGATAAAGTATTTCCTTACAGCACATGTCTTAGAGTCTGGGCACCTGTAAGAGTGGGAGAAGCCTTTCATTCTTTGTTTCTTACAATTTACTGTGCAACTGTCCTCATGTGCCTACACATTCCCAAATCAATCCTGTTTACTGTATGTTCCATATGCAGTAAACTACTTCAATTTCAGCACAGATTCCTACATGCTAAATTATATCCTGGGCATATACCCTGGAAGAATCTTTTAGCCTTGAAATGGAAATTGTTTGGGCTTATGAGAGTCCTTTCTCATATTGCGTAGAAGAGCCAGTGGGCTGGCAGAAGGTGATTGATATGTGTAAAGAAAAAGAGATGTATATCAATATATGGTGGTTTGCTGCAACTTCTCGGTATTCTAAGTTCTCTGACATCCCAGAGTGCTTTCTATTCACCGAAAATGAGCTTTAATATATTGAAGGAAGCAAGCTAGGAATGTGAGAGCCTGAAAAGAATCTTCAAGAACTGTTTTATTCTGTGTAGTGAATGCATTAAACTGCTTTCGCTGTTTCTTGAATTCTTTTATGCATCCTGGATCATAATCCTGACTTTTTCAGGGAAAAGGCACAAGTATAATCTCTATGTGTAGGAAAAAATAGTTTGTGTATGGGGGAAAGGAAGACTAATACATTATATTCTTCTCAGAGTAGGACCTACATTTCCATTCTTAAACGTACAGTATTTGAGCTTATGACTGGTGATCTCGGATGACACCACAGCAAAAATAATAATAATAAATGATAGTGTGGTACGAAAGTGATACTTAAGGGTTTGCTGCAGCTCCATCCATGAAAGATGAGCTTTCAATCTAGTGCCTAGGTTGTTAATATATATGATATGATATGATATCATATTTGGCAATATTTTAAATATTTACTGATATCAGTTGATCTCTGCCAGTAGAGATATAGTTAAATATGTAGTTAAATATTTAGCACCTGGAATCGAGAAGTCCCGGTATCATTGTTTAACTTTTTGAACTTAGTCTCCAAAGTTCTTGAAAATCTATTGTTTTTCTCATTAGAGGGATTTTCTACACACAAGCATGTCATGATTTTTGCTCTGAGATTCTCACACCTTTTCAATGCTAGAAATAGGATTTACATGCATCAGCAGAAGACAGAATCAGCCATTTCTGATCACACAGTCTCTGATCCTGTTTTTTCAGGGTCACAAGCTACTGGATTTTTTGACTTACTGGTGGGACTGCTTTTTATCCTGTTCCTGGGTGAAACTGAGGCTAAAACAGGCTGAAGCATCAATATTTAGTCCCAAGAATTTTGCTTCAGCATCTGTTCAAAACAGCTTAATGGTTTGGAATGGTACCACAAGTACCATAAAGTAAAATAGATTAGTAGATAGAGTCCATTTCATTATAGGTATATTTTAATTTACACATTTTGAGAGCTATTTCATGGAGCAAAGTTGCCAGTTTTCAGTATCACTTTGTTAGGATGTCCGTTTCCTGACTTTTTGCTTATACTTTTAATTTATTTTTTATTTAAGGAACTTCTGAAGCAGATATTCTCTTCTGTCTAGTAGACCTAGACCTTATAATGATTCATATGCGATACTTTCAAGTTTGTTTACATACACTTAGTTTGTTCTTGGGGGTTCTAGGTGTTTAAGAATTCCTGTCACCAACACGTGAGGTGACCGAGTTTTCACAGAGAGTTAATAAATAACTTGATACAGAGTGACAGCGGAAATTCTGGATTAGGGAACTGTCTTCCTCACAGTCAGCCACCCAGCTCTCTTCCTTCTTCCACCTTTTCCTTTCTTGCAAAATAAAGAAGCTGTTCTGTGGGCAGTAGAATTAAAGTCTGGTTTCCAGTGGGTCTTTCCCTTTGTCCCCTAAGTCCTGTCTGCTGTAAAAACTCCAGCTCGCCCGTATCCTCATGCCACCAGCATTTGGTGAGAGAGCAGAACTGTGACTAGCCAGGAATCACATAGGTGCCGGCTGTCCAGCCAGTACACACACGGTGATTACCCAGTTGAGTGGTGACAGAAAGTACAAACTGAGCGTTGCCTCTTTTTTTTTTTTAGTAGGGATGCAACTTACCTACTGCTGCTGACTTAACATACTTAACTTAAACTCAGACTATTACTTATTTCTATTCACTTTGTTTCAGTTTTGCTATTCTAGGCTTTGTTCTACTGCCTCCTCTACTCAACTCCTTTGTTTTGCTGGATTTTGTCATTTCTCATGGGCTGCTTCAGAAAGCTCCCGTTCTTGTCAGAGTTGGGTTCTCATTTTGACATTAGCTTGTCTGTTAGCTTTCTTTGTAAATATAAGCATTTACCTTCACTGAAAGAGGTGAGAATAACTCTTAAGTATTAAGACATTTGGAGGATTTACAAGGATGACACGAAGAGCATGCTAGTGCAATGGAGTTAAGGAAAAAAATGTTGAAAAGAGGAAATCTAATAGTGCTATCTATTGCATCTTCAAGTAATGTTGAGGTAAGTAGTGGAAACAATGAGCAAAACACTGGAAAAATAATTCTGGGAGAGTCCTACACTGTTAGGAATATGAACCGATTGTCTTATTATGTATGTTCCATTCCTGAGTTTTATGATTAAAACCAGAAGAAATGTGAGCCAGGACAGCATTGGTCCCCCTTTCTCGACTTAAATATCCAGAAGTTTCTGCCCAAAATGTAAAACTGGGGCTACACAGGTGTAGTGAGGGGGAATGGGGAAAGAAGTATGGAAAGATAAATGAAAAAGCTACATCTTGCAGCACAGTCATGTGTTAATAATTCAAGGAAACACTACTTCATTCATATTTTTTAGGGCCAAGAATTCCCTCGTATCAGCTACCCTTTTCCTATTGACTATGTAAGATCTAGGCTTGAGAAGAGAGGCGGTCATTAACGTGGTGTAAGTATATAGCAGTGGCCATACTGAGTAAGGCCGAAACTCTTTTTAGCCTGGTCACTGGCTCCTGAGAGTGACAAGCAGTGCAAGCTGTAAGGAAGAGTGCTACACATGCAGAGTCAGTAGCAAAGGGCGAAGGACCTGTACCTTCAGAGCCGTTAGTCTCCATAATTAATTAATGTCTTCTTGCAACCCTTTCCTCTCCTCAGTATTGTAATATTGGTCAGGATCCTGCTGCCTATTGGATGTCAGTCAAGGAGGGCCGAGCATGGGGGACAATCAAACCAACAGCAGTCTTTAAAAAGATAACTTCTTACTATCATTTCTCATACAACTTTCAAATACTGTAGAAAGAGCAGAGAAATGAGTTCTGTTCAGTCAGCAAGGGCAGACCTTTTGTGTGCCAAAGGAAACCCAAACCTGCTGGAGGTGGCTTTAGACTTAAACCTGAAGCTATCAAGGGCTGGATTTCATAATTCGTTCTACAGTTCAGGGCTTTGAAAACTCTGGGTGTAACAAAGTGCAATAGATAGGAAAACAAGTTATTAGAAGCAAGTTACTAAGTAAATTGAATACTGATATACTGTAGCAAGACCAATTGTAACAAAGTCAAGAAGCTCCTCCTCATTATGGTATACTTCTGTAACTGTGTAGCCACTAAAGTGGCAATAGAAAACAGCATATAATTATATGATATCTTACCGGAATGTTTCATTATGAGCTCTAGAACTACTCACAAACTGTTCTAGAAAATTGTGTTAGAATCAGAAGCTATGCTTAGGAGTTATTTGCTGAAACAGTTTCCTGATGCTGTAATCAGTTCTAATTTGTGTTTGTTTTTGTTTTGTTTTGTTTTTCTTTCAACATTGTTTTCATAGGATTCTTGGCATCTTGGAGAAACAGTAGAAAATGCAAAACGAAATAATAAAGCCTGCTAAATACTTCTCAGAAGTGGAGAAGAGTGTGCTTCTTGCATTAGTTGAAAAATACAAATACGTACTTGAATGTAAAAAAAGTGATGCAAGAACTATTGCTCTGAAGCAACGTACCTGGCAAGCACTAGCTCATGAATACAATTCCCAGCCCAGTGTATCGCTGCGAGACTTCAAACAGTTAAAGAAATGCTGGGAAAATATCAAGGCACGGACAAAAAAGATAATGGCACATGAAAGGCGGGAGAAGGTAAAAAGAAGTATTAGTCCACTTATAAATACTCACATCATAGGGAAAGAGAAGATTGCCAGCATAATGCCTGAGCAAATGTACTTTTTGCAGAGCCCACCAGAAGAAGATTCTGAATATCAGCCTGATGCTTCTAGCCAAGGTATAAATGTTACTGTAATGATGCAAGTAGTATTGTTTTGTATGTGATTTTGCTAGTGATTCTCTTTCAGTAGTCTAAATCACTCCATTTACCTGTGGACTGCTGGTTATAGAAAAGTAATTTCAGAACTATGATATTACAAGATTCCATGTATTTCCCTAGGCTCCCAGGAGCTAAACTGAGGTTTTACTCATTTTTTTTTCATCAGTTTTTTGACATATCTGCTACTTTGTGGCAAGCATCACAGTGGCTATGATTCTGGCTTTCCAGAGAACAGTCCCAAAGATATTTTGATCCTTTATAAAGTACTATTTTGCTGGGAAAAAGGTTGTCTGAGCATTTAAAAACAAAACAACAACAACAACAACAAAAAATAACAAAAGCAGCCACCAGCAGCAAATTGATACACAATTGCCTGCTGCAAGAGCAGACCAGGAAAGACCCTGTAGGTCTTTCCTCCTTTGTTTTTAAGGACTAAAAGAATACACAGAGCTGTATTTCACACTGCAGTCCACACTGGAGAATGGCCTTTCTGAAAAAGTTCAGCACTACATTCTTCTTTGTTTGGCAAGCATACACAGAAGGAATAATCCAAAACCAGAAGGGAGGGTGGCTACAGCAATTTCTTGCAAATTTTATTGTGTCAGGATTGCACATAGAAGACTGTACTTGCTCAAAAGACAACAGAAACTACATTGTTAGATAACACTCTTACAATGTCTCTTTCATAATTGTATTTACCGTAAGTAGCCTTCAGGATTTGTAAAGGAATGTATTTTGAGAGCCTTATTTGCAGTGGTAACTGTTTTATTCCATGAGTAGTTTATTTTATTTCAGAAGAATTGCTAGAACTTTCTCAAAGTCAGAATAATGTAATTTTTTCCTAAAAATATACATCACTTCATTTAGGACATGTACAGTAGTGATAAGGAAGCAATAAGTAGTATTTTTCCTAGTATTCCCTAAGTCTCTTGGTGTTCATGTTGATACAGCTCTTCACCTGACACATCTTTCATAAAAATATTGCTATTCACATACGGATTTGGCTTAAATAGCTGCATTAAGGTTCAGCTCCAGGCTCAGCCACCTAAATTTAGATGTCCACTTATAAATGTCTACATTCACTTTAGTGTCTGAGCTCCCATTAATAGCCATGGAGGTCTATCAACGGAGCCCAAAGTGGCTCCCTTCAGACCATTATCTCCTTAGTATTCTGTAACAGAACGGCATTATGTAGTGGCTCCTGTACTATGGTACAGAAGCACAAGGTTTAGATGCATACACCAATAACTATATTATCACAAGTTCACGTTTCTTGAGGGAGAAGGGAATACTATAATACTTTTCCCTCTTATGTTTTGCAGAGTCATTTGTTGTCTCAAATAGAGAACTTTGTGATGAAGAGAAAGAGCTGGTACATTTCTCAGTATGTGAAGGTACTTCCCAACCTGAGCCTTCGTGTTCTGATGTCAGAATAGCAGCAGATAAGAACTACAGAAGTAAAGCATCTCAGGAAAGCGCTCTGAAAAAGATGCATGAGGAAGAACATCATCAGCAAATGTCAATTTTGCAACTGCAGTTAATCCAAATGAATGAAGTTCACGTGGCAAAAATACAGCAGATAGAAAGAGAGTGTGAGATGGCCGAAGAAGAACACAGGATAAAAATGGAAGTGCTAAATAAAAAGAAAATGTATTGGGAGAGAAAACTGCAAACCATCACAAAAGAATGGCCTGTCTCATCCTTTAACAGACCCTTTCCTAATTCACCTTAGAACATAAAGGGGCAAGGAGTCAGTCTGATTGAGCACATTTATGAGTAACGTGCACTGGAAAGTGGGCTTTTTGATGTGAATGTACAGTGACAGGATAGGTGCCTGGCTTACAGTGAGCACACTTTGACTCTTAATGTTTAGGGTAACAGTGGTAGAGTCCACCAAGGGGAAAACTGTATTGTTCATTTGTACGTAGTTCTAATTTGTTTAATTCTCAGACATGCACATTGTTCTAAAATGTGAACATATTTTCGCCTCTCAGAATACCTTGACGTCCTTTGGAAATGTAAGGTGCTCTGGGTATTCTTACATTGGGTGTTCTTAAGAAGACTTTACAGCTTTAAACATCAGGCTATAGTGTTTATTTTGATTTCTATCTCCTCCCATCTACCATTTCCCAAATGAAGGCAAGGGTTGGAGTTGCTCTCTGCTATTGAGACAAAAGGTGATTGGCAAGTATTGGTTGGATTGCTATGCTGGGGTTTAAGAAAAAAACCTTGTCTCTAGTTAATATAGTTCATAACTTATTCTTCATAGAAGATGTGATAATGAAGGAAGTAGCAAAAGGACCACTGTAGTAACTAAGCCCTTTGCTTATGCAGAACAGTGATATCTTCCAACTGGATGGCTGATTGAGAGAATGGTTGTGGGCTGGCCCTGCAGTTGTTTGATCATTGACCCTTAAGAAGTTGGAAAGAAGGTGACTTCTTCCTCAAAAGTCATTGTGCTTGTCCTTTCTTTTCCAACCCATCTTGTATTCAAGTAGAATATTGAAATACGAGGGTTACATGCTGCTGCCAGCACTGTGTGCTGTTCACCTGGAGTCATTCTGAGGGGAAGAGCTTTTTAACAATTCATAAAGCTCTTAAAATGTAGCTAGCCAGCCAGTCCATTGGCAAAATCTCCCTTTATCTCCCTATGTAATGCTTGACAGCACAGCAGCTAGTTTGAGTATTTCAACCTTTCCCTAGCTAGAAGGAAAGACTGAGACTCGCTCTCTTTTCCTTCATAGAGGGTGGGAAGGAGCTCAAGGGAATCATTCCTGTACTGGAGCACTGTTCTGTTTTGTTCTGTCCTGTGTGTTATGGTGGTGTGTTTCTTGCATTTCCTGTCAGTGAGGAGTGATGGACATGATTTGTATGGAAGTGTTCCCATGAAGGTCCTCCCCACAGAGTTTGGGGGATCTGGAATAGTAGAGGGTACGAAAGCACAAATAAAGATAATCCTTCCCTAGGCAATCATTTAGTCTAGAGGAGCAAGGGTTAGGAAAACATGGAATACAGAACTCTGCAAAGATTCATAAGAATTTCCCATGTGTGAAAAGCTGTTTTACAGGAAGGTGTATAGCCGTCATCTGAAGCAGTGAGAAAAATGAACAAAAACATAAATTTTCATTGAAAAACCTGAGTATCCTGTTATTCCATAAAGTATTTTCAGATCATAATTTGTAAAGGCAAGTCCATACAGTGGGCAATATATTCAAATTAGAGTACGTTACAAAACATACATTCCCAGTCACGCTCCCGTCTCTTCCCTGGATGTTCCTTCTGGCAGAGTGAGTTTCTTCTGGTTTTGTTTTGGGTTTGGTTTTGGTTTGTTTTGGGTTTGGTTTTGTTTTTTTTTTTTATGTTTCTTTTTCTTGAACTGCTTTCCCTGCTGGTGATTCATCTTTGCAAACACTGCCATTATCAACCACAGTGCTCACTGTCATTAACGCTGTGGTACATGTGTTGCTCCCTTCCAACGTGCTAACACCAGCAATTGCAATGGGAGTGATTTTATTGCAACTTGTCTTGTATGACAGAGGAAAAAGAAATTTGCAGAGCTGCTGCAAGATGAAGAAAATAGGCCATGTATGAAATCTGAAGACAGATCTTTTTCACAGCAAGCTCAGTTTTCTCATAAATTGGCTGTATGAAGGAAGCACAGGACGTCCGAAGAAGGATAACATTATGGACACTTTTTTTTTCTGCTGAATGGAAACACTATTGGAAGGTATAATAACAGTAGAGGCAAAAGAAAGAAGTAAACAGGAGTGGGGACCCTTTTTGTTCTGAGGTTGCATTCTGTGGTCTGGAAGATGAGTCTGTTATTTGAGTGGTTATGACAATTGTTCTGGCACCGTCCAGAAAAAAGAATAGGAAAGACATTTCTCTTAACCAGTGATGGGATTCCTTCCACACTGCTTCTAATTGAAAGTAATTTGAAACTATGAAATTGAAACCATGTATGCTAAGGTGTCAAAAGGTGACAAATGGGGACAATTTCAGCACTGTGAAGAGAGTAAGAACAGAGAGACAATCGAGGTCTAGATAGCCCTGTGAGAAGGTATGAAATAGTCCAGGGAGAATCTCATGAATAAGAGTAGTTTTGACTCCTGAAAATTATACCATTGCTCATGAAATACTGTTTTATTTTTATATTTTAAAAATAATTTAAATTATGCATGCTTTCAGGTTGTACTAAGCAGGCAATGCCTTGCATTTTGCTAGACATTCTTATTCTGAGACCAAAAGTCACAGTTCTTAGGCTGAAAAATAGACCCTTTTAATTCAGTTTCTATTTAAAAGAAAGAAGATCACAGGAGAAAAATCAGAAAGAGCCAAGATGAAGATATGAAAGAAAGAATTATCAGTACATGCATAGCAGAAGAATATGAATGTCACACCTAACACAAATGATACAAGATGCTTTTGTGGTACAGGTAATAGATGGCTTACTGGTGATGCAGGCTTTTGCTTTCCCATCTGTCATTAACTGTTGGTTGCTGTAAGGTTGGGTGATAGACAAGCAAATGTAAAAATGTAAAAGATCAACACGATGAAGTAATTTGTCTCCTTGCCAGGCTTTGGCTTTTCCATCTAAAGGCTTTATAAAGAGATTGTTGTGGTTGAGTTTAAAGGACTCGAGAAATATAGGGTTTACCTTTTTTTTTTTTTTTTTTTTTTTTTTTTTTTTTTTTTACAATTATTTCCTCTGGAATTAGGATTTATCTTTTCTTTTGTTTGACTTTTCTTATATGTAATATAGCATTCTCAGACAACATGTCCATTTGTTCCTCTCCCTTTTTTCTAGTTTACATCATTCAAATACTTTCACATAATTGTGTTTTCCTGTTAACCATTTGTCCAAGCTATATAGGCATTTTCCCAAGGTTTTTCCATAGGTAAAATGCAGCAGTATTTGTTATACAGGTTGTTGGCAAGAATGAACTTAAAAGATACAATGGGCAGAATGAGCCCTGCTTAACTCCATCAGAAAAAATATATACCAGACATGTAGTGGCCGTTGTTTTCAGCTTCTATGTTATTATGAAGAGAAACTATACCCTTCTAGGCAAGGGGTGGTGTATTCCTTTATGCTCCCCAAAATGAGCCTGGCTCCAAGTGCTGTCTCTCCTTGGAGATCATCTAACTTGTTATCTGGTATAATCTTTCTTATTTGTTGATTTTGTCATGGTCTGAACCCAGCTGGCAGCCAAACACTATGCAGCTGCTCGCCCACCCACCCCTGCCTGGAGAGAGAATTGGAGGGGCAATGGGAGCCTTGTAGGTTGAGATAAAAACAGTTTAATAATTGAAATAGAATAAAACAATAATTATAACAGAAAATACAAACAGGTAATGCACAATGCAGTTGCTCAGCACCCACCGACTGATACCCAGCCCATTCCTGGCTAGCAATCCTGAAATACCAAAGTTCCACAATCGCAATCCTGGAAGCAAGAGAGAACCCCTCCTTCCTGGCCACCCCTCCTTTACATAGTGAGCATGACATTCCATCATATGGAGTATTTCATTGGCCAGTTTGGGTCTGGTGCTCTGGCCGTGCTCCCCCCAGCTTCTTATACACATGTGGATGGGCAGGACATGGCGAGTTGGAGAGTCCTTGATCTCCTAGCAGCAGCTGAAAACTTCAGTGTATTATCAGCATTCTTCTCATACCACATCCCATCCTGCATCCAAAACACAGCACTATTCTAGCTACTAAGAAGAAAAATTAACTATCCCAGCTGAAACCAGGACAGATTTTTTCCTCCTGTATTTCTTCCTCATGTCTGTGTTTCCCCTTGTTTTTTTAACCAGTAATACGAGCAGGGGGTTTCATCCAGAGCTATGTGGTTTGCTCTTTCCTTTCTCTTTCCCAGATTGCCTATACCACAACATTTGAGCATGAAATGGGTGCTCTTCAGTCATCATCTTCCCCTTCCACAGAAAGCATGGTTAGTTAGCCTTTACTACACAGCTGCCCATACATTCTGGATTCTGCGCACAGGCTAGAAAACAGGATTTTTGAAGAGAGGTTAGTATAGAGAAAGGTTTGTATAGAGAAGAGCACTTTCTCCATTACAGCTCCATGTAATTCTGAGAGGACAGTCTGTGACTATAAAGTCATTCATCGGGACCAGAGCTAATGCAGGGTGCTGAAGCTGTGTAAGTGGTACTGATTCGTCATAAATCCTTGGGGTTTTGCAGAGGTTAGGTCTGGGATTTCCTGAGAACAAAGTTCCCTCTTTCTAGGTAGTGGAAGAGTCTCAGTGGAAGATTTTCATAGATACTTCCTCAAATCGAGGCGCTTACCTTGACAAAGGAGTAACCCATCCTGCAAACTATTTTACTACTTCTTCCAACACCCAGGTTGCTCTACCACAGGAGCAAGGGATCTTGCTGCGTGCTACAAATCCTCTCTGTGATGCTCCTTCCTACACATAGAGATGTGTTTAGTCAGGGCTGAATTACATGTAAATCTTAAAATAACATTTAATTGCAATTTTTTCCAGGCAAGTCCCTCACAAGTAGTTCTGTGAGATCATATTTTGAGCTAGCTTGTTCAAAGCTATTTTTATGAGATTGTTGCATCTTAGTTGTTTTCACAAGATAATTGTCTGTCTTTCTGCATTATTTTTCTGTTTCTTCTCAAAGCAGCTGACTGTAAACTCACACATCATTTTCCTGAATTTTGTCTCTAGTTAGATATTCAAAAATGTTTCCATGCAAGTTAAGTACTAATGTGTAATAAAATTAATACATTTAGGCTAATAAAATAAGCCAAGTAACAAGATGATAGGATAATATGCAGTGATTTTTAATATATTTTAAAAAACATTACAGAGGACAGCTCTGTACATTTGATAAAAATAAAGAAAACAATTTGTGGCCATGTATAAGAATAGGATAATAATATATTCCTACAGTGAAAGCAAGCAGTGATCTCTGTTTCCAGTATCAGAGATTCACTTCTGTGCTGCTGGTTTACAAGGGACTTTGCTTCTTAGATATCTTTTCATTTTTAAGTTATTTTTGTATGGTCATGGAATTACATAAAACAGCTCGATTCTCTTATATGTAGAGAAGGTGCACATAGAAACGTGGACAGATTTCTGGGCCTAAAACAAGAGCAATAAAATAGAAAAGTACTAGCAGTGGCTCTGAACATGTTACTATTCTGGTGGTAAAGGGATTAGGCATCCCACAACACCATCAGTCATGTTAATTACACCGAACAAATTAAAAACTTGCAAAGGCAAAAAAAAAAAAAAAAAAAAAAGAGGCTGGTATGGCTTTCAGAGCAAGTCAGAAGTGAAGACAGATCTTAGCTGTCCCAGGAGGCACCACTGTCACATACGTCAAACAATTCCCCCTCATGCTCTTCACCTTCCCTGATTACTCTCCTTTGAGGCCCTGGACACCTCTATCATACCATTTATAGCTCCAAGAGCTTGACAATAAGAAAAGTAACTGTGTCGAGCAGGAATCCTGCCAGAGTTATTAGACCTCACTCTTTACTGAAGTTGGACCATTTTCTGAGACTGCGTTATCACGACACACGTGCTACACACTGCAGAAAGGCATGTGAAATTTGTCCAGCACGTAGTCTGCCAAATGGTATAAGCTATACAGCAAGGAAAAGGAAAAGGTTGGCCACTGCATGGCTGTGGGTTATAAAACTGTTATATTGATGAGGGTGTGTGGATGCATCTCACTGGATGGTCAACCCCTTTAACAGTAAGAATCAAGAAGTATTTTTGCCAAATCTTCTAATTCATCCTAGTCTAGATTTCCCAATCTGTCAAAACAGCCACGGGACAAAAACAAAAGGGAAAAAAAAAAAAAAAAAAAAAAAGGAATTAAGCAGTCAAAATACCTAGAAACAATCTGTTGCCTTCCCGACAAAGAGCTGGCTAGATAAAAAGCTGCATATATATAGTAGGAAATAACTCTCAAAGTAATAGACATAGAGCAAGATAGATTTTTAGATCTTTCATATTTAATTTATGTGGGATTTTTAAAAATGTTGATTAAGATTGTTTGTTTTCCTTTTGTTATTCAGTCCAGCTGCAGAATAGTTGTGGGCTTCAGTTTCTGACCAAATGTTAGAGCACCTCATTAATCAAATTTGTTTGGCAAGAGAGTAGGTTTGTATTCAGCACAATTTGAGATTGATTGTATTCCACAAGGCTTCAGATATTTCTTCTCAGATATAAGAGGCTGTTCTTGGACAGCCCTGAATCTGGTACTGGCATTATACACCAATTTAGTAGTAATTTATTATTTATATGGCATTAATGAGGTGACTTATAAGCTGCTCAAGCTCTGTCCATTATTTGGTCACGTACAAATCCCTTCACTTTTCTTAGAATTATGCCCTGAAATTACATACTAAGCCACAAATGAACCAGCTGAATTGCCTATATAAATTCCTGCCATGCAGTCTGTACCACGGTATAATGTGGGGAGAAAATCTCCTGCTTCTCTTTAATTGTGGAGTTTTGAAATTTTGACCTGTTACTCTCACCAAAACTTTGCTAAAAATTGTTTTGTTCTATTGGACACCTAGGTGTTCCCACAGTACCTTAAACCCAATGAGTCATGTGGCTTTATAACTTTTGAATAGTAAGCCTACAGACTGTACAAAGTCTGAATTGACATAGACAGGCTACATTCAATTTATCTAAAGAAGATCTTGTAAATGCTCTCCCATACTGAGACTCTGAAATGTACAAATTGGAGAGGTGATTTGATGGATTTGGTATTTAAACCAGGGCAGAAATTTTGGCAGGTTGGGAGTTATCAGTGTTGACCTAATAGAGAGGTTCAACCTCTGTTTAAGGAACAATAATATCCAGTCCAAATATTGCCTTACCTCCAACTTTCTGTCTAAAATGAGGTGTAATGAGAAGTCCTTGCCAAATAAAGCAACATTAGTTTCCAAAATGTGCTCATTTTTCTTTCAATTACCAGCTTGCATGAGGGCTCTGAGGCTAGACTGGACTTTATATTGCACTCTTCTGGCGGCTGATAGCAATTGAAGGAGACTTCCCATACTGGTTTTGTCCTGTTCCTCTTGAATGCAATACTCCTACTTGGATACGCTTAGCCATGTGTTGGTGCCAGCCAGCCCATGGCGAGAGGCTCACGTTCTCAAGTTGCCCAGCACTGACTCCCTGTCAAATGAGCAGTGGTGGATGAATTTGAATAAAAAATGAAGGTCTTTGCTCAGCAGGAACAACCGTCATTGCTCACCGTATCACTGCGGTGCCTTGTCACACCAGTGAAAAATGTAGAGGTATAATCAAAACCCAATCGAATTGGTACTTTGTCGCAGCCAAATACAACACTGTCTGCTGGGATGAATCTTGTTTTTACTCCTCTTGTAGACTGATAAATTAATTGCTTCCTTCCAGTTTATACCTCCACAGTCCTGTTGAAGTCAATACGTTTTTCTACATGTTGCCACAGGCTTGGTAGATAAGTGTAGATCTCCGCTCTCATTCTGCTCCAAATGCCACAGCTACTAATGCTGCTTCTATAAATCCAGCACAAGGACACTGTCAGGAAGCCAGGCTGGGAAAATCTGGCATGGGAAAAGGCTCGCTTAAACTTAAGCCCTTCTCTTACACACAGCATGGACATGAGTGGCTTAAGCCCCACGGCACAGCAAACTCAAGCCTGTCACAACTTAAAACACAAGTATGGACATAGTAACAGCAGTGTGTTAGTTTGGTGATCTGTAAAAAAAGCTGGTAAGCAATTGATCTTTTAAATTGTTATATAGTAAAATCTTCCAAGTCATGGGACAGGTTAAAGTTATGCCCTGTCAGTTTTCAACTACCAAGAGCAATAAATTAACACAGCTTCAGTCCAACAGGTTCAGTTTTCTGTTAGGATTTGTTAACTGATATGGTTAATATATCACACAGGCGTGCTCTCACCCTTCTTTCTTGTAAAATCTTTGCTATTTCCATCACATTCTTTGACATTCTTAATTAAAAAAATAAAGGCAACTGTGTTAATCCATCCCCAGTTAGATATATACATAAATTCAACCAAATGAACAATATATCAAATCTTCTTCTAATATTTTCTGTTTTCAGCTATATGTGGGTTTTTGTGTTTATACTTTCCACCTTTTTTTTTTTTTTTTCCAAAGAGTCTAAGGTTAAATAATGAGAGATCTGATCTTCAGCCTCTCGAGATGCAGATGTCCTGGCATTTTAGATCAGTACAAGAAAAAAAGTTCTGGTAACTCGTAAATCCTAATACAGAGATA